ACCAGGGTTAGCCACAGAGAAGTCACAATTAAATTTGGCAAGTTACACAGTCACACTCAAATAACAGTCCTGTTTGTCTGATTTTGAAGGGAAAATACAGAGTCTGCTGCCTGCAGGATCTCTCCATTCTCGCACTGTGTTGGTCTTAGTAAATGCCATTTATTTCAAAGGAAAGTGGGAAAAGAAATTTCTGGAGAAAAATACTTCTGAGATGCCCTTCAGATTAAACAAGGTAAATTCCTTGTCTATATGCCTGTTGCCATATGTCAATATGTCTATTATTGAAGACTAAATATTTCACTTGTATTTCATATGTCACTGTAACACTTTTTTAGCTGGGCACATGGTATAAACTCAGAACAGCAACTGTGAAAATAAGTCAGCATTATCTTATTTACACATATTCACGAGAACAGTATCAAAACACTTGAGAACAGTTAAAGTCAAGAAAAATAAGCTAAGTAAGTTAAGCAGCTCAAGGACATGATGAGATGTCTCTAAGTACCGTGTTCCCATTTTCAAATGGGACCAAGTTGCTTTTCAGAGCATTGCCTAAGCACTCTCTTCTGCTCTTGGGACCCTGAGCTCAAGGGATCTGATCCAGCTGCTCTTTCCACACACATCCTGGGTGTTGCGTCAAACTTCACGGGGAATTTTCACAGGGGTTTGTCATTTTAGCTGAGTGTGTATGACCTATTCAGTATTAACTGAGGACACATTATTGAGCTAACAGTATTTAAACAATCACGCACTGACAATTCCCAGTAGCTGACTGCATGCATATTTTTGGACTGTGTCAAAAGCAAGCAAAATTATTTGTCAGTGGAAGCAAGCATTTCTTTGACATGGATTAAGAGTGCAAATACGTTTTGTATGCCAGGCAAAGTGAAACAATTGTGCTGATGATGTGACTGTGTACCCGAAACCTACTGCACTATATGTGCAGTTTTAGGATCCATCATGGCAGATGTTTGTTGTCGGTCACCTTGGCTTGGCCACCAGGTGCCCACTAAGACTGTCTATCACTCCCCCTACTCAACAGGGCAGGGGAAGAAAGATAGGATGAAAAGATCATGGGTCAGCAAAAGGACAGGGAGATCACTAACCAATTACCCTTATGGTCAAAACAGCCTCAACTTAGATAAATGGATTTAATTTATTGCCAATTAATCAGAGTAGGTTATTGAGAAATAAAGCCAAATACATAGCACCTTACCCCCACCCCTCCATTCCTCCTGGGTTCAACTTCACTCCTGATTCTTCCAGCTGTGCCCCAAAGCAGTATAGAAGGACTGGGAATGGGGGTTACAGTCAGCTCATCACACATTGTCTCTGCCGCTCCCTCCTCCTTCTCACACTTTTCCCCTGCCCACGTTTGGGGTTCCACCCATGGGATACAGTCCTTCGCATCCAATGTGGGTCCTTCCCATAGTGTGCAGTTTTTCAAGAACTGCTCCAGTATGGGTCTTTTGCCTGAGGTGCAGTCCTCAGGAATGGGCTGCTCCAGCGTGTGCCCACTGTGGGGTCATAGGTGATGCCAGAAAACCTGCTCCTGAATGGGCTCCTCTCCACAGTGCCAGAGGTGCTGTCAGGAGCCTGCTCTAGTATGGTTTCTCCATGGGTTGCAGCTTTCTTCAGGGCACATCCATCTGTTCCAGCATGGGGTCATCCACAGAGTAGATATTTGTACCAAAATGGTCTTCACCATGGGCTGCAGGGGAATCTCAGCTCCAGCACATGGAGTGCCTCCTCCCCCTCCTTCCTCACCAACCCTGATGTCTGCAGAGTTGTTCCTTTCACATTTTCTCACTTGGCTCTCCCAGTTGCTTTTGTGCAGCAGTTTTTGCCCATTCTTAAATGTGTTACCACAGAGGCACTACCAACGTCCCTGACTGGCTCAGATTTGGACAGTAGCAGGTCTGCCTTGGAGCCAGTTGGAACTGTCTCTGCCTGACACAAAGGCAGCTTCTGATGTTTCCTCACAGAAGTCATCTCTGCAGCTTCCCTGCTACCGAAATCTTACCACACAAACCTAATACATGGGTGCTCAGAAAGGTCACAGGCTGAACAGCTGGGTCTGCAAACAGATAAAAGTTGTGTGAACATAACAGAGCACAGGGATTCATAAATTTATTGTGCAGTCCAATTCCACTTAGTAATCCAGTCCTATACAGTTTGGGGAAGAGGAAAAGCCATCACAGGTCACAGAAAATATATTTCAGAGGCAGAGTGTGACAATCAGTATTGCCTGGAAGTCAGTCAACACTTTTTTCCCCTCAGTCAAGGCTCTCACTTCAAATAACGTAATCTTTGGGAGAAAACATAAAACCCAAGTAGTTACTTGCTTATCTAAGCTAACTCCTTTATTTTAAATTAAGAGATATATTATGTGGAATTCAGTTAGTAGGTAGCTAGCACATGTGCCTATGCTGATTTTTTATAAAGATCCCAAAGACTTTGAGAAGGGGGTATATGCAATACCGTCCAAAGGAAAGAGTCCTGACTATCCAAATGCTGCTGAGTCTTATACTTGTTTACAAATTTTTGCTTTCAGTTTAATGAAGCAAATATATTTTATCATTCTTTAATGTATAAAGGATTTTTTTTACGTCTGAATTTTTTCACAGACCAAGACTAAACCTGTACAGATGATGTTTCTGAGAGATAAATTTTTTGTACTCCATGAAACAACCATGAAATTCAGAATCATTGAACTGCCATATGTGGAAAATGAACTCAGCATGTTCGTCCTCCTACCAGATGACATCAGTGATAACACTACTGGTCTAGAGCTGGTAAAGCTGGCCTATTGTTGCACCACATACACTGAGAAACAGTATCAGAATCAGATAAAAAGAGTGAAGAAGAACAAGCTTCAAAATCACAATAGAATAGCTCCGATGTGTGCGAAACTGTGACACCATGATTTCTCAACCTAGGATTTCAGGGCATTTGATAACATTGCAAATATAGTACTTCTAAAACTATCTTAGTTCACAGAACTATCTTAGCATATTTTGTGTCCTCTTTACTACTGCCAGACTAGCAAAAGGAAAGCAAGGACCACATCTGAACCACCATGCCCTAGAGTTATCTTCTCCTGAGTGCTGCATAATTTAATTTTTATGTCCTTTGCAGTCTGGATTTGCACCTAATAGCTTGTGGTGAGTTTTCTAAAACTAAGCACTGACCACCCTGATCCAGAAGGTGTCAACAGCCACTCAAGACCACACCAGGATCAGTTTCAGATTTCTAACAAATCAGGGCAAGCATATTTTTATTTGTACCTCAGTTCCCATGCATTCTATTTATTTATCACTACTAAGGGAAAACTTATACACACGCAGCAAGCACGTATTACTATGAGTCACACATTGCAAAAACGCAATATTCTTCACACCACAGTAAAAATAATAAACTACTCTGAGGGTTCAGGCCTACACTTCACCATCTTTAAGAAAATAAACAGAAGTGTAAGTCACTCAGCACTTTGCAGGATCATACCCTGTGAATATGGTGCACGTTCCATCTGTACTCACTTCTGGTAGCTGGGTTTTGTTTTACATATTCTTAATGAGCATTAAGATACTGGTCTGTGCATGTCTTGTCCCTGTCCTTCGCATTCCAACTATTTTCTTCCCCAACTCATTGCAGGTGGAAAGAGAACTGACCTACGAGAAATTGGCCGAATGGACTAAATCAACCAATATGATGAAAGCTGAAGTGGATCTGTACCTGCCGAAGTTGAAGCTGGAAGAGAATTATGACCTTAAATCCCCTTTGAGCAGCATGGGGATACGAAATGCTTTCGACCCAGTTCAGGCTGATTTTACAGGAATGTCAGCGAAGAAGGATCTGTTCATCTCACAGGTTATTCACAAAGCTTTTGTGGAGGTCAATGAAGAAGGTACTGAGGCAGCAGCTGCCACAGGCGTCTTGGTGATGAGATCAAAAACACCAACAATAACTTTTAAAGCTGACCACCCTTTTCTCTTCTTCATCAGACACAACAAATCCCAAACCATCCTCTTCTTCGGCAGACTCTGCTCACCCTAGTGAGTTACTCCTTGCCCTGCAGAGCAGGTGACTCTTGCCTGCTAGCACAGAGGCAAATACCAAACCCTGACTCTTTCTGCAACCCAGAGGGAGCAGAACTGGAACCCTTTCTCCATCAGGCCCAACACTCTGGGGCCTGAGGCACAGCTCCTCTTCCCTCCTACCCTAAAGGGGCACCCAGTGCAGTGCCAAAGGGAGCGCAGATGCTTTGCATCCACGGAGCAATCCTGACTGTCATTTAGATCAGGCCATCACGGGTAGCTTCTGTCCTCATCACTCTTAGGTATGGCATTTCTATCCCTCCTCCTCACAGCTGCATGTACAAAGTGGCTTACATTTTAGTAAAGTCCCTCTCCTCAGCCTCATGATGAGGGCCCCTGATCCCTGGTCCTAGTACTTACTCCCAGCCTGCAGCAATTAGACCCAGCTCATTTTTTTAAACCTTAATCCTTCTAGAGCTTTAGGTTCTTGTGTTACAGCTTGAGGTAAATCCTGCCAACCCTCATCCTTGCTTTCCTACCACATCCCAGCTCTAAGTCTTCATCAGCTCCCAATTAGCCTACTGTGACTCCACAGACTCCTTTTCATAAAATAAAAAAAATAAAATAAAAAAATAAATAAAATACCCACACCTCTATAAGGGCTATTTGCCTCACTCAGACCTCAGAAATGCTAGGAAGGGTTAAGCCTGTACGGTCTCCGACTACAGCAACAGCTGACTTTTGCTCAGAACAAGCCCTGCTTCACAAATAAGTAACAACAATAATAATAATAATTAACCGCTCATGGACTGGGCGTGTTTTCTGTACGCTCTGCCACGAGAGGGAGGCAGAGATGGGAAATCACCGGCTGCAAAGGCACAGAGCGGGGCGGCCACCACTGCACACCGAGGCGGGGCGCGGCCGCCATTTTGCCGGGCGGGGCTGCGGCCCCTCCCTGTTGGCGCCGGCCGAGGGCGGAGTGTGGCAGCCGCCGGCTGCATCCCGGGAGGGGCCGGGCTCCGCTCCCTCGGCCTCGGCGGTGCTTCCGGGAAAAGGGAGCGCGGAGGCTGGCTGGGTGAGTGCGGCGGCTCCGTTGTCCCGAAGGTTTTCTGCGTGAAGCTTTAGGGTTTTTACTTTCCTTTTTATTTTCCCTTTCTCCCCCCTTTTTTTCCCCTCTTAAAAAAAAAAAAAAAAAAGAGCTGCATGGCGTTGCTTTCCTTGTGGTTATCTTTTTTTTTTTTTTCTTTTTCGGGACGTTCCCTACGCACCGCTGCTTCTTGCCAGCTGGAGCCGCGGCGCAGCGCCGGGAGCGCTTCGGTGGGAGCGCCGGGGCGCTTCGGTGTGGAGCGCCGGGGCGCTTCGGTGGAGCGCCGGGGCGCTTCGTGGGAGCGCCGGGGCGCTCGGTGTGGAGCGCCGGGGCGCTTCGGTGGGAGCGCCGGGGAGCGCTTCTCGGGTGTGGGAGCGCCGGGGGCACCGCGGCCATGCCGAGCTGAAACGCCTCCCCTGCGGTGCCCAGCCCGGTGCGGGGGCGGAGGAGGGACTCTTCGCCCCGGGGAGTGCCAAACCCTAGGCTTCTTGTGCCTCAGCTTGCTGGGACAGTGTCAGGCTCCTCCCTGCCCCTCTCCACTCCCGCTGATGGCGCAGGGGCCGAGAGCTGGCGGGGATGGGCTGTGTCATCCCACGCATCCCACCGCCTGCCCCTGGACAGGTGTGTGGGGAGGAGCCATTACCAGGAACTGTCAGCGGTCTTACACTGCAGGTCGTTTAACATCGCTCCCAGCTCTCCAAATCCTAAAATGAAGCCCTGTTCCTCGAGGAAGCTTGCTTTGGTTCAGAGGGTGGGAAAAGGGGCGTCCGTACCGCGGACGCAGTTTTCTCTGTGGAGATGGACACAGCGTGGTGGCTATCGCCCCGAGTTTTCCCCTTAGGAACCATTCTGTGTTTGAAACACTCGGCTTGTGGCTCCTCTGAGGCAGCTGACAGAAGGTGGGGAAGGGTCCTTGTACGCTGGACAGTCATCCATGTCATAGTGTTCGTGGGAAATGTCTCTTGAAGGCTGCAGGCTGGAGAGGAGCTGTACCCTGCGCTGGCTGGGTTCCCCCATGGCCTCACATTGCAGTGTGTGCTATCTAATCTAGATGCAGCCTTTTGGTCCATAAAGACTGTCCTAAAGCGTAGGTGTTGATTGCTGAGATACTATGCTTCAAATTCGTACTGGTAGCAACACACAGGGTCCAGGCATGCAGAAATGAGCATCAAGCACGAGTGTCTTACTGCTGACCTGCAAAGACCACAGGGAGACCACAGTGAGGAATGAATTGCTGTTGGCAAAGCTTTTGATCACCAAGGGTTTTGCTGCAAACAGTTTACAGTTGATTGAGAAATATGTACTTAGTGCAGTCATTGTGTGTTGTCTCCAAAACTGCTCTAATGGGAAGGATGTCAGTAGTTACATTGGTATTCCTGAGCTGCAGAGAAAGCAAAGTTAACTGTGCAGATATAACTCCCAGCCGTGTGTCCCAGCTGTTGCAATATTACTTACAATTTGGTTAAATGTGCTGGTTTTCAGGCATGCAAAAAGCGTGAGTTGCATCCTTTTGTCTGTAAATTCTTGCCTGTCATGGAAGCCCTGCAGAAACTTTCTAGGCAATAACTGCTTGCTGCTGTCACTATTCCTGGGTGCTTTGACCTGGAGGTCAAAAAACCTTATTGCTAGCAATCTGCAGGTATTGGGATATTAGAAAAATTCTGGTTTTCATTGTAACTAACATGAACAGTATATGTCTCCTATTTATGCTGTAAAGTACGTAAATTACAAGTTTCAGACACAATTGGAGGATTCTTTTCATCTAAGCTTGCTTGATTTTTTTGTTTGGTTGGGTTTTTTTCAGTTATGGGAGAAGAGAAAGAGGAGAGCATTATTTACTGTTTATAGTGAAGCTCCTAGCGAGGAATTTTCTTGGGTGGAAAATCATGCATGCAGAAACTTGCACTTTTCACCTCGTTATCTGAGATAATGAATCAGTACTTTGAATAAGGGGTTGGGTTTGTATTTTGTGGCAACGTATCAACAGTAGGCCCTGCCTTAAGGGAAGAACAAAACATGGAGACATTTACTACCAGCCGCTATCTTACGATTCCTTATACTCATCTGTGGTAAACTCATCGTTCTAGTATTTATTGCTCTTTTTATAGGTGTGTGTTTAATCTCAGGTTAACTACCTACATAGACGATGAGGATGACAGGCACCAAGTTTTTTATTGTGTGCGTTTCCGTGTTGCAGGCAATAAAATGGAACTGAAATGGACTTTGATTTTTTCTTTGTACAACAGTAGGAAATTGCAGTAATCTGTCATGCTGACTAAATTAATTTTTTTTCTTTCCTTTTTTATCTTGTAGGACAACTCATTCTGGTGACTTCTCCCAGCCCAGCTGTTTAAAACACAGCGTGCACACGTAAGAGTGAGCTGAAGGTACTGCTGAAGAGCTATAGACTTAGAGAAGGTAAGAGTTTGTAATTCAGCCCTTCTCATGTCTAACTTTTTGGTCTGGTTTTTGTAGAAAAGCAAATTATTTTCTTTGTGAAGTGAGGAGAGCTTTCTTTTGGTCAGTTCTGAATGAAATCCTGTTGTGCCTGATGATCTCAAAAGATGTAATATTATGTAGGTATGGGATGGAAGTACAAAATCAGACAGTAGATCCCTAAAATAACTCAAGTGAGTTGTATGGGGTTTAAGGTGCTTGTGCCGCCAAATCAATACTGTGGTGAGGTGATAATTTTCCAGCCTAATGATGATATTTGCTGGCTGGCTTATGCTGGGAAATGTAAAAGAGAGAAATAGCATTTTTGTGTTCAAATAAATTTGATGCCTTCTTGTTCTGTGTTTTATCTCCCAGGCTCAGAACCATGGAAAGCCTCTGTGCAGCAAATACCACTTTTGCCCTGGACCTCTTAAGAAAGCTGTGTGAGAAGAAAAGTGGGCAGAATCTGTTCTTTTCCCCTTTTAGTATTTCTTCTGCTTTGTCTATGGTTTTGCTGGGTTCAAAAGGTAACACTGAAGCCCAAATAACCAAGGTAGGGGAAAATAAACTTAGTGGATTGAATGTGATGGGAGCATATGAGCAACAGATGTGTCTTACAGTCTGTGATGTGCACTTCTGCTAAACTAGGGTTGTAACTCTGGTCTGAACTCTTCCTTTGCTGGGAGAGTGTGTGTGTGTGTGTAAGGACAACCTGTATTCATTGTTTTTATAGAGGAAGCTTTGTTCAGTATGAAATTAAGAGGGTTCTGTTGGGTTTCAGGGTTTTGTTGTGTGGGGTTTTTTTTCATTTTGTTTTTGAGACAGATTTTTCCATACATAATTAAAAAGTACCTCCCTTTTTTGTTGTTGTTGATTTGATGAATCTCTAGCTATGTGTAATATTACCTTCTGCTTTCTTGTTTGCTATTGACTATCAGATGATATATGTTTTCAAAATGTAGTCAGGCACCTACAAAAAAAAAAATTCCACATGCTGTCTACATGTCAGAGTGGTAGCTGCACCTTGGTTTACTTTTTCTTTTTAAACTTGCTCAGGTGGCAAATACTCCTTGGCATATGTTTTACGTATGAATTGGCAGTATGAAATGAACAATCAATCATTCATGTAATGATGTTTGCCTCTTTTGCAAAGTGGAAGAGGAGTGTAAACTCCTATATTTTTACTATTTAACTCTATTAAATTTTCTCAAAAATCATATTTTTGCCATATTGGAGTTATTCAGAGTCTATCTGGACACAGTCCTTGGCTGCTGGCTGTAGATGTCCCTGCTTGGGCATGTTGTTGCACCCTGATCTCTGGAGGTCCCTTCCCAGCTCAGCCATCGTGTGATCGTTCAGTGCTTGACTTGAGGGAAGGAACCATCAATATTGCTGAGTCTTGTGCTCCCTAATTTCTTACTTTTACAACATCTGGCTGGGCACATCTACTGTGCCTTGTATGATAAGCTGGAGATGGGAGGTGTGATGAAAAACCTTTTGGCTTCAGGTCACAGTGTTTAACCTAAAAGTAATTTAAAAGTAAAGATAACTGTGCTGAAGCAGGTGTGTTTATAGAAGGCACGGACCCTGTTGAGGATGTTGTCTTTGTGCAGGTGCTTTCTCTGAACAAATCTGAGGATGCTCACAATGGGTATCAATCCCTTCTCTCTGAAATTAACAATCCAAACACCAAATACATCCTGAGAACTGCGAACCGGCTTTATGGGGAAAAGACGTTTGAGTTTCTCTCAGTAAGTCCCCATTAAATGTGTGGCGTTTCTTGGCATAATGTACTTGCTACCTCTTTTGTTTGGAGGTCAAGGGCAGGCTTTGGGCTCTGCTTTCCAAATTTTCTGAGCTGAGGACTAGCAATGCAAGAGATGATGCCAGAGCCTGGTATCTGAACTTGGTGGAGAATCTCCTTTCAGATATCCTGAATGTTGCAAAATAAAGGTAAAATCTGTCAGTCTCTCCATCGTCTAGGGTTCTGTGATCCACTAATACTTTTGTTTGTGGGACTCATGTTTGATGTATTTCCTTTTCCTTTATTGTGTGGAAATATGACCAAAAATAAATTGTTACTACTCTTCATCACGAGCAGTATTTTGTAGTTTTTCTCTCCCAGGTATGGGATCCAGATATTATTCTGAGGATAATACATGATTTTTAAGATTTTCCTTATCAGAAGATCTAAATAATGATAATAGATACTGTATTATACGTCTTTCTTTCAATGCTTCCCTAGGTGCAAGAACATGTAAGGCTCTATTTTTATTCCTCTGGGTGTCATTTACAGTGTTTCTTTTATGAAGAGTGCTATTGTTTCATTTTCCCAGTAGATAAAAAATACCTGGATTGTAGTCTCAAACACTACCAGTTGTGTAATAAATATATAACTATATTAAATCAGAGAGAAGGAATGCTTTATCCTCTCTATGAAAGATTGATTTCTCATCTGAACTAAAAGTTTTCCATTAGTCTGGGAAGTGTAACAACTAAATTTATGTAGAGAGTAGCTTACAAAATCATATGTTCTCTCACTGAAGCATGAAGAAAGACCAACAAAAAACGTAGCCACTTAATTTCCCAGGGAAGCTACATAGAGGTTTGTAGCACAGTAAATAAGACGTTTGACTTAAAACCATACAGAGGACATTCCTAGTTCAGCTAGGTGCTATATGCCCTCATACAATCTTGTCAGCCAGAACTTTAGTTGTTATATATGAAGCTGGGGGAGGAAAGTGGGAAGATTTTCTTGGTGTATTTAAGAATCATCTGTGTCTGAATGAGAGTAAAATCTGTTGCTGCAAATCTACTGTGCATGTCCCTGTTAGTCATTTATAGAGTCGAGTCAGAAATCCTACCATGCTGGACTGGAACCGACTGACTTCATGCATGCTTGGGAGGATTCCAGGAAACAAATAAATGGCTGGGTAGAGGAAAGGACTGAAGGTGAGTGCTTTGCAAAGTGCCCTGTTGTATTTCATGGTAGCCTTGGCTTGGTTAAACAGGTATTTCAGGATAGAAGGTTGTGAATTCAAACAATCCAGCTGTTGAGCTCTTGCTCTGTTTTACATAATTCTCTTCTCTCTTGTGTATTAATTGCAGAATCGATAATAATTAGATATGTGTCCAACTATTAAATGTTGTTTGTCTGTCTCCTAAAGGTAAAATTCAGAACCTGTTGGCGGAGGGGGTTCTTGATTCCCTGACCAGACTTGTGTTGGTGAATGCCATCTATTTCAAAGGCAACTGGGAAAAGCAGTTCAACAAAGAAAGGACCACAGAAAGGCCATTTCAGATCAACAAGGTATGATGTGCTGAAATGATGACAATAGGCTGTTAATCTGAAATGAACACTTATCAGTCTGAAGAGAAAACATTCAAGTAAGGTTACATTGGGTAGGCTGTATGAAATTCCTTATGCCCCCTCCCTTTCCTATGGATGCTCTCTTTGTTGAGTTTCCGAGAGGTTTCACGTAAATACTAGGAACTTTAATATAACATAAAGGCAGGTGCAAAAACTTGTGCATGTCAGTCTTCTTCAGTCGATGCTTTTTTGCTGCATTTCTACCAGTGAACTGATCCAAAATCAATGGAAAAAAAATCTGCTGTGAAGACCTCCATGTTCTAGTGTTTTGCTTTTAGAGGCAGATCAGGGCTAGTGAGGAAGGCTTGGCTACTGTCATGAGCAGGCCATGGCTGCCCCTCAGGATCCCCTCCACCTCTGGGCTGGCCTCCAGTGTCATGAACAAGAACTGCTAACATGCCTTCCTTAACTCACCTGCTGCAAAGAAACATTATGCAAAACAGAATCCCTCAGGACTGACTTGGAAGTGTCCCTCCCCCAGTGGTGAAATATGTTCAAGAATGTTTGAAATGGTTAATACGACTTCTTAAACAGGGAATGTTACTGCTCATCCGTTCTGCCTACTGCAGCTCTGGAGAGACTGCTGGACTGCCTTTGTTTTGGGCACCTTGGCCTCCCACTGTGGAAATGTGTTGAAGAAAGCTGGAAGAGTATCCAGAGACACAATTCTGTTTTCTCTTCCTTGGACCAGTTCAAAGCTAGGGCCAGGTTTCCAGATGCAACACCAACAGGATGTAGTGCTGGTGACTAATCTGCCTTTTGATTTGTGATGGAATACTGTGTAGTGCTACTGCATCTGGATGGTTTTTACCTCTTGCTTTCCAAAAGGCTGTGCTGGGGCTGCACTGTGTGGTGTGTGAGTAGTTCTCTTTGGTCAAATTCTCAAAACCCTGAGTAACTGGCTGCCTGCTCTGTATTTCGAGACCAGCACAGTAGCTCAGCATTAACTGTTGACATCTCTTAATTTTTAGAAGGAGACCAAGCCTGTGCAGATGATGTTCAAGAAGGATAGATTTAACATGACCTACATTAGGGACTTGCAGACCAAAATCCTTGAGCTGCCCTATGTCGGTAATGAACTCAGCATGATCATCCTGCTCCCTGATGCAATCCAGGATGAATCCACGGGCTTGGAAAGAGTAAGTTGTTGAGCTGCATGCAAAGACAGCCTGTATCCTTCCAGGGAAGAAAGTCTGGTACAGCCTGTAGAGCTGCAGGTCACAGGAAAAGGTAGGATCTCTTCTGTTGTGGAGATGGGATACAAGTTTGGGCTATTTTGTGCTCTGGACAAGGAGTTTATCAATATAGGTTTCTAACCCTGACTGCAAAGGGCCTTGTGAGCAGACTTTTCCATCATGCTGTCACCACAAGGACGAACCATTGGTTGAGACAGAGGAAGTGGGACTTTGTCAGTACTTCTGTGCCTTTGTTTCTTACATGTAAGAATGTAAAATACCTCAACAAATCATGTTATGTACTATGTAAACAAAGACAGTAGTCACTACTTTTGGCCATGTCACATTGACTCTCTTCTTCTTTTAATTATGTAAATTTGGGATTTTTTTATAGCTGGAAAGAGAACTTACATATGAGAAGCTGGTAGATTGGATCAGTCCTGCAATGATGAACTCAACGGAGGTGAGGGTGTCTTTACCCAGATTTAAACTGGAAGAAGATTATGATCTGAAACCCATTCTGAGCAGCATGGGAATGCCTGATGCATTTGACATGGGGAAGGCAGACTTCTCGGGAATCTCATCTGGCAATGAGCTGGTGCTCTCTGAAGTGGTTCACAAGTCCTTTGTGGAAGTCAATGAAGAGGGCACTGAAGCAGCTGCTACCACAGCTGTAGGACTAATTGCGTAGAAAGATCATTCCAGATTTCATTGCTGATCATCCCTTCCTCTTCTTCATCCGGCACAACAAATCTTCCAGTATTTTGTTCTGTGGCAGGTTTTGCTCTCCTGAGAAGGCTGGAGCACATTTTTAGCTGCACTCCCTTTTCTTCCTCCAGTCTCATCTATTTAGTGCCTTGCCCTAGAGCTGAAAGGAGTCTTTTGCATCCTGTTCCAGGTGTTGCTGAGGTCCCCGACTAGATGGTGCTTTTGGCTAGTAACTGGACAAGGACTTAGGCAGGAATGGGAATGAAAGTATGGTTTTGTACCAGATGCCCTAATGGGGTGTTTGTGGGGTGAGAACCTTAGTTTCATCACCACAGGACAGCTGGGTTTATTACCTGTCTTCTGGTTCTAGTCCTTTAAGAAAGAATGTAGTTAATTGCATAATACGAGCAATAGAGCTGAAACTGTTTTCCTGACACAGGGCTGTGTTTTGTGCTTTCTGTTCCTGAAATAATAAAAGCACTATAGGACTCTTTTCCTTTTTTTTCAACCATAAATTGTGCATTTTTAAAAATCAGTTGTATGAATAATAAAATCCTGCTTGTTCCTTGATAGAGTATTACTAGCTTCTATGTAACTTGTTTTGTATTCATTGTTAAACATGAGCTTTTCTGGATTTTTAAACCTGAGGTGATTACTTGGGTTGCCTTGGAAGGCTTTCTGGCAAAGGGTTCCCTAGGCAATCGGTTGTTTCTGGGCAGCAGTGCAAGGCTGCCTCTTGGTTTTTTGCACAGCTTCAAATCATGGCTTGGTGATTTTCATCCAAAAGGATGGCCCTGCCCTTAATTCAGTGTACCATAACCCAGCTGTCTCAGATGAAGAAAGTAAAAGCATTATTCTAAGAGGAGGGCGGTGACACTGAACAGTTTCGTCACCTGGACGCATGTCATGCACTCCAGTTGAAGGGCTGGTGCTGTGCACCCGAAACCAACACGGGCATTGTGTGTTCTGGTGGCCAGACCGAGGGCTGCTGGAGAACAAAGATCGCGATAAGCCAGAGAAAACCCTTCATGCTTTTAATTTCTTTAATATTGGGTAAAAAAAAAAAGCCACAAACCAAACCAAACAAAAACCCAAAGATGACTGACCTAAAATTTTGAGCGTAAATAGAGACGCGGGGTGGGAAGACAGAGACGCGTCGCCCTGGGCGGCGGCCGCGGTGCGCTTGTCCCACGGGGCTAAAAAATCCTCGAGCATGTACCGGCTCTCGCAGGAGAGGTTTGTTGGTTATTCCCCATCCCGAAGCTCCTCCTTTCCTCCTCCGGGACACCCTGGCCTCCCCCGTGGGCAGCGGGACGGGCACGGCCGCGGGGTAACTCCTGCGGCCCCGCCTCTCACTCCGCCCCCCCCGCCCCGGCGGGGTCCCCGCGGGTGTCCCCGCGGTGTCACTGCGCGGCTCGGCTCCTTCCGATCCATCCCATCCCATCCCGCTCCGCTCTCGCCGCCCCGGCAGGTAGGCGGCCAGCCGGCCCTTAGCTGCGCTGCGGCTCCGCGGGGCTCCCTCCGTCCCCGGGGCACCCGGGGCATCCTACAGGAAAGAGGCGGTAACGGGACGAGACGGGGAGATTTTTCCCTCCCCTCTCCCGTAGCGGAGGGGACCGCGCGGGGCGGGGGGCGCTTCTCGGGCAACCTGGGTGGGGACTGCAAAACAGCTGGTTTGGGTGAAAGGCTTGCGCGGAGCGGAGATGTAAGTGAACGAAAGTGAAAGTACGCTTTGGGTTCGTATAATTTTAGAGATGTTAGTGGGCGTTCTTTAGCATAGAGCTCGATAAGGACGTTGCACAGCTGCCGGCTGTTTATCCATCCGTCGGAGGAAGCCGATAGTGATATTCTGCAATTCCTGTAGAGAGACTGTGCAGGAGACACGCAAATTGTGGTGTAAACTCCTCCACGCAGTTGGTCCAGGACAGAAACAGCCACAGCGACAGTCCGGCTGCAAGCAAGCACAGAGCAGCCGGCGTCTGAGCTGGGCGAGCAGGAAGGTTGTACAGCATCCAGCAGTACTGCCAGTGGCCTTTGGGTGGTTTTCTGTGCATGATACAGCCCTTGCACCTTTCACCCCGCTCCAAGGGCCTCCTCGTGAGCATCTCCCCAAAATGAATCGCTGCTCTGACCGTGCAGTGTCAGTCCTGAGGCTTTGTCTGCTGTGCACTTCTCTTCTGCCTTCGCTGACGGGTGGGTCACCTGCCGCTCTGAGAACCCCCCGCTCGCTGCCCGAGCCTTTAGGGCTGCCCGAGCCTTTAGGGCCGCCCAGCCCCGCTGGGCCTCGGGTGTGTTTGTTCCTGGATGCAGCGGGCAGGGAGCTCTCTCGCTCTCGGCAGCGCAGGCTGGAGAAGACAGCGGTGCTTTACGCTGCTGAAGGTCTTTGGCAGGATTACCACCTTTCAGGGGTATGATTTTTGTGCCATGAAGACGGGCAGGTTGCTGAAAGGAGTCTGAATGACCCTGAGCAGTGTGAATGTCTTCTGTGCGGGACGTGGGTAGAGGAGTTGGGGAAAAGCTCCTGGAGTGAGATCCCTGGCATATATGCTGGGTCTTTGAGGCTGAGGGGCTTTAACTTGCTGTCCTGCCAGCACACGGACTTCAAATTTCAGATCTGAAGGCAAAGAATTTTTTTCAGTGATTCTTTAGTGTGATAAGAAGGGTTGGAATATACAGTTTAAAAATCTCCTGCTTTTTCAATGTAATATTTTTTTTAAGAAGAGGATGCACTGACAATTATATTCTTGCTGTTTCTGTCCACAGCTGCCGTCTGTTTAATCCAAACATTACTCTCTGAGTCACACAAGGTTAGGCAAGGTGTTTGAAAAGTGTTTCCCAAAGTCCTTATCGATTGTTTTATTTTTCAGCTATAACCATGGAGAACCTGCCTAATGCCAACAGCAGATTTGCACTTGATCTGCTCAGAAGATTTAGTGAGGCCAACCCAACAGGAAATGTTTTCTTCTCTCCTGTCAGTGTCTCTGCTGCTCTGGCCATGGTGCTTTTGGGGGCCAAAGGTAACACAGAGGCCCAGGTGCTGAAGGTTAGTAAAAAACCAAATAAATAAAATTATTTCATATTATATATTATTTACATTAGAAACACTTGTGTTTTAGAAGAGGAGAGATGAAAAGAGGGCATTATTTTTATGTGCTCAGGACAAGATTTCTTTCATGTACGCTGAGTCTTCCTCAGATTTATTTCTGCAGCTAGCTATCTGCTGCCTGCTCTGCTCCAGAGCCCTCTCTATATATCTTCTATGGCCCTTGTTGCTCATTTAATTTCACTTGTTATTTCTCGAAGTAGGAAAGTAATTACATTAATCAGTCTCCTTTTAAATTGATCAGAATTTCCAGCAGCAAGGCCTTATGACAGATTTTGACAAACTATTACTTTATCACAAAAGGTCACTAATAGTATGCTCATTGCTAAAAATACTGTGTATTTTGTAAAATACAAAATTGTAAAATATAGTTTTATATTTAAAGTGTAACAACTATGACGATACATGGTGATGCTACTGAAGTATTGATATCTTAGTCAGCTAGGCACTAAGATATCTCTGAGGAGCTAAGCCTGCATGGTTATCCTTATCATAGCCTTAGATTAGGTAGGATACTTTAAAAAAACTTCCTTATACAGTGAAAAGCAGTGCACATAGTGTTTCTGGCATGGAAAAGCGACTTTCTCACTATTATTTTTTGCCCCTTTGTTAGGGTAACGCCTGTAAAAGGGCGTATGAGACTTTTCATTGCAGTCATCATTGCCTATGAATAATTTCACCTTTGTATTCTGGACTTTAGCATGAACTGTTTTATGCTGTTGAGTGTTGCTGTGCTTACTCAACAAGACAATAAAATTACTTTTTAGCTCCTTATTCAAACAGACTTGTTCAAACGTATTTCACATAATCAGACTGACAGCCCCACCTAGGATAAACCTACTGACAGCAAAAATCATGCAAAAGGAACTTGGGGGGAAATAAATGTGTTTCAACTCAGTCACCCTCAGTAGGGCATGTTCCTGTACCATAATACTTTACTTATGAACACAGTGCTAATTAAGGAGGCAGTGATTAGTAACTGTTGAGGGCTGTTTGCAAGCATACAGAAGTTTGTTTCCGTGATCATATCTTTATTGTAAGTTGCCTACATGATGTTTTTGCTCAGCCATTCATCTGTGCAGCACACCTTGGAGTAAGGTGGACAACAGGGCCTGACCAAAAACCCAGTGAGAGAAAGTGAAGTCTTTCCTTTGAATCCAACAGCAGTCTTCCTACTGTGAAATGCATGGTTTAAGTTAAAATGTGAACGTTCCTACTTTGGTCTAGCCTTCCCTGCTCATGACTGGCAGCTTCTTCTGCCATATCTGTAAGCCTTGGCCAGACAGCTTGACTCTGGAAAAGGAAGTACTGGTAAAGAGAAATTTCAGTAATGCATTTGATTTTTAATTTATTTTATTATTTAATTATATTTTCACAAAATTATAAAAGACAACTGTTCCAAGTTTTCTTGGAAGACCTCACCTGTGCTAGTGGTGATTTTATGTTCTGAAAAGCAAAACCCCAGGTCTCCTTCGGCCAAGGGAGGAACCAGTAAAGCAAAAGTGTCTCCATGGCACCATCTCTGTTTTCAATTCCCCAGCTGGGAATGAGTTCTTGGGCCCAGTGGTCCATGGAGAAGCACATAGACATCATGCAGACAGCTTGGGGTTCTGATCAACAGCTTTAGCTGTGACTGTGTGTAAACCTGGAGGATAACACAAGTGACTGACATGGGCAGTGTAGCACCAAGAAACAGTTTGATTCATTTTTTGAGGTTTACAGGTGTCTAAGCAGCTTCCAGCCTCTTTCTTTCCCTTTCTTCAACCTACCTACCTACTGGATCAGACCTGCCCTACAGATACACTCTATGTTCTTTTTTTAAAACAGTATTAACAGCAGCTGGTTAATTTCTTTTATTTCAGACACTTCATCTGGACAAAGTTGAAGACATTCATTCAAAATTTCAGACTCTGACAATGGATATAAACAGAAGCAATGCTCCCTATCTCTTACGGCTTGCCAATCGGCTTTTTGGAGAGAAGTCCTACAGCTTTTTGCCGGTATGCTGGTGCACACCATGATGGAACGTGGTGGAACCTGGTGGTAAAATGCAACAATTTGAGTATTTATGAAGTAGAACTATTTCCAGGTGTATTTGTAAATGTTACTGGGCAGATGACAAAAGTATTGCTGCTTGCATATGCATTTTCATAGCTGTAGGCATCTGTGCCTCTCACCTAAAGGATGTTACACAGCAAACCCTTTTCGCTGCATGTTCACTTCTGCTGCTCTTGGGCTCAAGAGAAAAATCACTTGTGTAGGTTTTTAGTTTACAGTAACTATCATAACATCCTGCTCTGTTGCAACCAGCTTTTTAGGAAACAGTTCTGTTTCTGTTGCATCAGCTTCTTAAGATTTTCATTGGTCTAGTACTACATTATTTAAACATTTAAGTTATACACTTTTTATTTGGTAGGGGATGCAAACATGCCTCTTCACTATATTTATCCCTCTTCAGCTATTTCAGAGAGTTTTTTTACTTCTAGCTATGATTGACCCTGTATCAGCAGAATGACAGGTAAATATTGCAACACCTGCTGTAAGAACTCCATCAGCCATAGATGTGGCTGCTGTACTATGAGGCTTACTCTAAGAGCAGAAAAAACCCTGCCGACCTCCAACCCCCCCAGGCAGTGCACTGTTAGAGCCCCACCTCAGAGAAGGTGACAATCTGTTTGAGTACACCTTATCTACTTGATAATTATATGTTTTCTTATCTGCATGCAGTGAAAGCTATTCTTATCGTTCCAAAATCTAGGATTTCCTGACTAATACACGGAAATTATATGGAGCTGATTTGGCTACAGTTGACTTTCTTCAGGCTTCTGATGAAGCCAGGAAAGAAATTAACCAGTGGGTTGAGGAGAAAACTGAAGGTAAACTACTTTGGTTAATAAAGTAACTGGCAGTGTTTCATACTTTGGGAGCAGGAACAGGCTTTATTCTCTGCTGTATTTAGAACAGTTTAATTGTGCTCTGGTATATTAATTTGCTGTATTGACCAAACCAGAAATTACCTAAGCAAGACATTTAAACAGTTCCATAAGTCCTGAGAGTTTTCCTGTTTTGTGTGTTCAGGCTGTGAGTGCAGGAGAGATGCCTGAACATAGTTATACTCATGAGTTGGAGAATTTTTTTTAGACAGTCTCAGTACATACTTTATATATATACTTCTACATTCAGTAATCCTTAATGTGGGTGTTTTCTAGTTCCTGTATGATGAGTCAAATGTGACAGTTTAAGCTAAAAATATTAAGTTTTCATCAAATTACTTATCAAAAAACTGTTTCAAAAGTTAAAAAGTATGGTGAAGTAAAGAGACAGGTCCTGAAATATATGTTATTACAGAATGGACTGGAGTTTTTTATTTGTAGTATTCCCATGGGATCAGGTTTTTCATATATGTTTTTATGTACCATCAAGATTTTGTTGTCACTTTTTTTTTGTTCTTCTGCCTCTGAAGGTAAAATCCCTGATCTGCTCTCTGAAGGCTCAGTTGATAACTCGACCAGGCTTGTGCTGGTGAATGCTATTTATTTCAAAGGGAACTGGGCAGAGAAATTTAAAGAAGCTGACACCATTGACATGCCTTTTTGGTTAAGTAAGGTAATACAGATATGTCTTGGTAGTGTATATCTAATGGAAATGTCAAGTGATATAGGTGGTAAAGTGAAGCTTTACTTACAGATAAAATAATTAAGAAATAGAAAGTCTTTAATGGATTTTTTCAGTTCACCTGAAAGATTTTTTTAATGGATTTCAGTGTTTTTCTGTGTTCAGCAAGCCATTTGTTGTCTCACTTACTAGAATAGGGTCAGAGACAGTTCTCACCTATAGATTAGGACCTAGCAGAATTTCTGTCCTCTTGTAGTTCAGCAGCTGTGAACTGTGACTGTTTGTGATGGTAGATAAGCAGTACTAAAATGATAGCATGTTTTGATTAAGCCAATTTTTTTAATTCTATATTCTGGTTATGTTAACAGCTTTACAAGATCCTGTATACAGTCACCTGCTTTATGCTGAACAGAGTTGATCTTTATTTACTTAACATGGTCATTTTTGTGTCTAGAGCAATATAATGGTCCAGCAACTCACAGAAATTGATTAAGTTCCTGCAAGGTCTGTGCTACAGAAGCCAAAGTAGAAGCAAATATAGTACAAACTCATTATATCTTCAGAGCAGACTGTTATTAAACAGGCAGGCAGGAGTCTGACAAAAGCAGTTTTATAATCACCTGATATAACAGAGGAAAAATTTATGCAAAAATGCAGTTTTAACTTACTTGTTTCCTATTAGTTCTTTAAATGAATACTTCCTTAACTGTTACTTTTGTTACATTTTATCTATCCAGAATGAAAGAAAGACAGTGAAAATGATGTATCAGAAAAATAAATTTAATGTTGGGTACATTCGTGAAGAGAAGATCCGTGTTTTAGAACTGCCTTACGATGGAAGAGAACTTAGTATGATCATCCTGTTACCTGATAGCATTGAGGATGAGTCTACTGGACTGCAGAAGGTGAGCCATCTAAGCTAATGCAGTTGTTCAGTGTTCTTAAGTTCAGCCATTCAAAATTAAAGTCTTAATGAACCTGTGTTCTCAAAGCCCCATATTTATCAAGTGTATATTTAGACAACTCTCTACTAGCACAGCAATAAAGAATATGTGCATGTGCTGCATCAGGAAGAGGAATTGTGTTCTGATTTTGTAGCTTGTGTTCATGTGTCCTCTGGCTTGCTAAACTGAACCATGATGGAGGCTGAAAACAGAGTTAGCTGTGAAAATAAACGTGCCTTGATTGTTTTTAATGACAGAACTTTTCTTTCATTACCTTTGAAAATCTTTATTTTCTCAGCCATGAAGAAGTTAGACAGTTTTTCATTAAATGACCAGGAACACATCAGCTTCTTTGAACTCTCTGATTATGATTTTTGTTACTTGTTTTTAATTAGATAATTCCATTTAGCTAGATTCAATAGCAACAATGACTGCGTTGCTATCAGTGCATCTTTTTCCTTTCTGTATGTTGCAGCAAGAAGCAAATGTCTACATCACTTTGTAAAGTAAAAACTGCACTGATTCTGCTTAGTTTTAATAGTATCTGTTTGATCTATATATAAGTATCAAAGGTATGGGTATGGCCATTTTTGGATAGTTTCTTTACCATTGTATAGTGTTCTATAAATAAAGCCTTGTAAATGTTACTGAAAATTAAATACTACACCGGTTAAATGAAATTACCTCTGTCTTTTAAATTCTAGCTGGAAAAGCAGCTTACCTTAGAGAAGCTCCAGGAATGGACACGTCCAGAGCATCTATATTCCACCGATATTAATGTGCATTTGCCAAAGTTTAAGCTGGAAGAAAGCTATGATCTTAAGTCAGATTTAGCTGCTATGGGCTTGTTGGATGTATTTGACAGTGGTAAGGCTGACTTGTCAGGAATGTCAGGGGCACGTGACCTCTTTCTCTCTAAAGTTGTCCACAAGGCTTTTGTAGAAGTGAATGAGGAAGGCACGGAAGCTGCAGCTGCCACTGCTGGCATTGCTATGTTCTGCACGGCTCTGGTTATGGAAGAGCATTTCAATGCTGACCATCCTTTCCTTTTCTTTATTCGCCACAACCCAACACAAACCATACTTTTCTTTGGCAGATATGCTTCTCCATAAAAGAGAACTTAGCACTTACAGAGTAGCTCCTGCTGTTAATGCAAACTTTGTTCCTGAATGAGTTGGATTTTGACATAGGAAGTTAATGTTCCTGTCTTGAGTTCCTAGCAGCTTTGACTGGGATTCTGCCTTTCCCATTAAAACAATTCCAGAGAAATGTAGGAGTGTAATTTATTTTTCTTTCTTGAGATTGACATAATCTTTAATGAAATGAGAAAAATCTTGACTGTAGAGAGGGGAAATCTTTTGAAATTGGAGTAGAAACAGAAATACTCTTGGAAGAAATGTGTGTCTCCTAAAGTGCAGGAAAACCCTGTGTGCATCCTCACATCAGTTTTTCTGTGTCAACAGCCCCCTATTGTAATAACCAGTCACTCCTTAGTAATCCAGTGACTCCTTATGCACATATACCAGGATGTTCTTGCAAAGCTATTCCTCCCCTAAAGTTTTGCTTTATGAAGGTACTGTAATAAAATACTTCTAGGCACCAAAAGGCATATTGTGAACAGCTGAGTTTACCCAGTTCTGTCACAAAATAGAAGGTCAGATAACATTTGTTTATAGTCATCTATTAATAGAAAAAGGATTAAGCTATTTAAACAAAAGTAACCCCTTCCAGTCATTAGCCAGAAAACTTGCAACAGAGCTTTTGAATGAGGAGGATTTTTAAAATTTACAGGCTGGTGCCATTTTAGTTATTGAAAATGTGAAAATGTGCCAGGGATTAGACGTTTTAGGTGCCTTTTTCCAAGTTCAGAAGCTGTCAATATGACGTTAGATTCTGGCCAGAACCTATATCGTCCTCAAAAGATGCTTCACCTCCCCAGAGGATAGCTGGGTATAATCTGCAAGAAATAGCTGATGTGTGTCTTTATGTACAAGGATTCTACATTTACTGACTTTCGCTACCTCTTTATACACAAGCCTCTTGTACTGTACCACAGGCCTTGTGCCTGTGAGCCAATATAATTACATACTGTAGTGTTCTGTGTTTATTTCTGGAGCTTATTTGCTTGTATCATGTTTATCTTGGGTACTGTAACGTTTACCTGTACAACCTCAGCTCTGAGTAGGGCACAATAACTTCTGTAACTTCAAACTGTATGTTAATTTTTTCTTCAAGCAACAAATAAAAGTCATTTCCTTAAACTTGTGTTCGAAGTGGAAACTTCTGTGTACAATTTAACATTTCAGAGTACAAAAATAACTGTCTACCTGAAGGTTAGTTCCAGAGAAAATCACTGGTGCAGCAGCTGTGACCAACTGTGTGAAGTCCTTGGCCTGCTCAGAGTACGTGAAAATACCAAAAAACAAATGAGTCAATAGAAGAGGTGATTGCATGAACCGTTAGATTCCTCTGGAAGTGTAACTTGAGCTGCTTACCCCACAGGGAACAGGGAGAGAGTCACCGTCAGTATGAAATGGCACAAACGCTTGGTCTGGATGTGTGTGCAATACCCCGATAGCAAAGGCTCTGGTAGGTTTGTAAAGGGAAGAGTGTATTGCAGAGTGTTGCAAATGTAACCCTTTCTGAGCTGAATGCTTTGAAAACCCAACACTTTGAAAAGCAATACACGAGACAAATAATAGCACAAAACCCATGTAAAATTCTGGAACAGCTGGATGTTGCATTAGTTCTGGGTTTCTGCGCCTTCGTCTTCAGCTTTTTAGTAAATAAAACTTCTGCTGCCATAAATAGGTTTTGCCCAAGGAAGCCTCAAAAACTCCACTGTAATTACATCCTTATCTTTATTTGCTTAAACTCAGTCAATGCACGCAAGATATATGATTCCTGCAGGCTTTTAGGGCAGCGATTACCAGATCAGAAGAAAGATAAAACCTTGCATAATAGTGCAAATTAGCGTAGCTTTATGAGAAGACTGATGTCTGGATTTGTTGCTTTGGTATCAGTTTTATCTATTACAGAGATAAATTTGGTTTTCTAGACTATGTGCAGAAAATAAAATCCAGCAATAAGAATCTCAATAAAATCAGCTTCACATTCAAGCATTTACGAAAGCCCAGCCAGTACTCCCCTCCCACAATTCATGTCCCACAATAAGGTGGTTGTGCTTTTTCTTAACACTGTTTTTTTCCTGTGCTCCTGTCAGACCTGACAAGGGCTGGTTCCTACAGAGAAAACTGGCATGCCAACTTTATTCACATTTCACACCCTGCTTCAACTAGCTCTTGAGAAGGATTTTGTTTCTAGAACTACTGAATGAACACAGGTCTCGCTAAGTTCAAAGCATGGTAATCTTCAATATGAGATGATTTAACTGAGGAAAAAGGTAGCAAATATCATTTTAATGAGTTAAAGATACCACCTATAAGATGAGTGACTATTGCATCAGAAGTCTCAATATAAAACTAAGAGCTTAGCCTTAGTCTTAGCTAAGTAGCAGTCATAAATCCACACCCACAGTATAAAAAAATACATTACACATATATTTGGTTTAAGTTAACCCGGGGGACTGCAATATTAAAAGCTTAGCTCACTGCAGTTAAATTTCCTAGGAGGGGATCAGTAAGTACTTGAACATGAACTTCCCTGTCCAAAAACAATTTGCAACTGGCTGCCGTTTTGAAAAGACAACATGGGAGTATCTTTGAGTAGAAGAGAAGATTACAGCAGCTGGACTTCAGTCTCCATTTTGGCCTTTCCTAAGAAGATCAGGCTTTATAACAGTCCAAAACTCTGAGCAATATTTGCTCACTGTGCTCTGATGAGTAAGCCAGACTTTGTACTATTGCTTACAGAGACTCTTTAGGAAAGCCCTTTGCTTTCGGTAATTTAAGAAGAAAAACCACCACCCACCACCACCATTTGGCTGCTTTTTGTGATTCATACAGTGAGTTGCTCATTCTAGAAAGTAAATACCATAATGTGGATAAGGAGGGTTTTACATCACCTTATACTTGAGATAAATTTACATAGATGAGTTAAGACTTTCACTGTTAAATGTTTGCATGTATCTATATATGACCAAAATCTTGGTAAAATACTTAAACCTGATCAAGATGGAAGTTTTTCTTGATTTTTTTTTTTTTTGGTGTGGTTCATTAGACCAGTGCAGTTCAGTTGAACCTACTGAGACAAAATGGTTGCAATTAAAATCAGAACCTTGCTTTTGTTGTTGTTGTTGGTTTTGTTTTGTTTTAACTGTAATGAACCTCTAGTTCTATCACGTCATCTTATGGTACCAGCTGAATGCATATTCTTATCCATATTCATTAAGTGGCCTATGCATTCCCTGACTACTTAGTAACAATGAAAGACAAAAACCACAGACAAAACCCAGGAGAGCGAGTGCAGCCTTTCTGGAAACATGTTGAACATGTGCAGTGGCCAGAAAATGTTGTATCTTCAGGATAAATAGAAATTCAAACAACCACCTTGTAATAAACACTTTTATTTTTAAGTCATTTCATGGAAAATGATAGACAGTCATTTTGGCCAAGAACATTTCTCTCAACACAAGAGAAAACACTCACAGAAAAGGGAGAAAATGCAGTCCAGAGATTAACTGAGGGCTTAAACTCTTTGTGCATGGAAAACAAGGCAAGAAGACTAAAATACAAGTAATTATTTCACATAAATATTTAGTATAGAAGTCTGGACAACCCTTTAGCAGCTCCATCATCCAACTTTTTCTCTGTGAGAGTCAAACAAGTTAAATAATGGAAACAATATTGATTAGTTAATTTAAAAAAAACCCCTGCAATGGAACTAATTGGGGGAATTGTTTAATTGATATTTCTGGTCTGGCTGTCCATATCATTGACATTGGCATGTTACTATTGGGAGAAACAACTTACAGCAAGACAAGTTGTTTTTCATGTGTACTGAATTTCCCAACACAGGCTACGGCATAGCCTTTCTCATGGCTTGCATTATTTTTTATTGGGACAACTTATATGTGAGAAAAAGAGATCATGGTATGGTGGACTTTGATGGTGCTTCTTGTAGTGGAAGCAACTTTTATCTGATGGGATCCAAATCTCATCCCAGGTTTTCTAGTGACACTGTAATAATATCTGGTATTTCCTTAAAGCTCTACACTCTGAAGGTAAATAAATACACCACTGTACCCCCATTCTTGCCCATTCTTGCCCTTCAGTGAGCTTTGAAAGGTAAGCCCCAGATACTCAAAAGCCAGAAAATGACAAAATGTGCTTCATAATTTTTTAAATTTCATTCTTTCATCAATGCTGCTTTTGAAGCAGTTTCACAAGGAGATTGGGTTCCGCTTGTTGAAAGCAGCATTGCCAATCCTATGTGAACACTGCATACATCATTCTGAGAACAAATAGATGGTTTTGCCTTGGGTCTGCTTTGGAGGGACAGGAAATGGTGCAGGGTGAAGTGTCCATTTGTGAGTGCATCTGATCCTGATGGACTTTTTAATCGAGCATGGAGTTCTTCAAACAGTGGAGATGACCCTCTTTAGAGGGAATATAAAGATACACATCAATGGCAAGGAGAGAGCAGGAAGCAGCCACTCTATTTCCAGTATAGCACCTTGCTAATTAGAATAGGGAGGAAGTGAAAAGGTAAATAATACTTTCCTTGGAAAGTGACCATGAGGCACGACAGCTTTGAAACTTAAACTTGTTATTGCTAACATTTTATAGCCCATTAGACGTCACTGTCTGATGGATCTGAACTGAGGGGCATGACCTTTTTGCCTTCACCGGAGGCTGAGGGAGGAAGAACCCTCTGAATCTTTTGCCAACCTGTGCTGCCCCCTGAAGGCAAGCACACGATGCTTAGATTTACTCCAGCACTAGAAGAGATCACACCTTGCCTTATTTCTCCGTGTGCCTTTCAGAGGACCAGCAGGATAAAAATACTCATTTAAGTATTAACCCATTAATTCAAGCAACAAGAAAGTTCCACCCAAACTACAACAAAGTGAAAGAATATCATGCAAATTTACATAAATGAAGCTTGTCAAAAGACTTGCTTGTCTTTAGAAACAGAGTATGCTCAAAGTATTAAAAAAATATACTTATTTGAGTAAGGAGAACACAGGAAAGTTAAAAGAATCTAACTCAAATCCTTTAAGAGCATACAGTCCTGCAACAGATTTAATTTCTGAAACATTTCAGTTACACCACGATCTTTGGTTTAAATCCTACATTTTTGTCACGCAGAACTTCATATGAAGGGAGTCTCACAACAAAATTCATCTCCAATACAAATCAAAAAGTTTTGGAGTTGTATATTGAAAACTTTTGATCAAGGCCTAGGGCCAGTAATCTGTCTTGAAACATAAGAGGAGGAGGCTGAACAAAGCTGGCTTCTGGACTTGGCACTGTATCCTCAGACCATAGACCTCCTAGTTTGCTGAAGTTGCTCTGAATGAACTCCAGATGTGTGGCTGTGGCAATCCCCCTGATCTAAGCTCCACACAGCACTAAATACCTCTGACCCACCTGCAATTTGTATATTCCAGGCAGCTGATCTGCAGGTGGCTGGGTGGTATCACAGCTGGAGAGAGGTGCAAAAAGCTCGGTATGGCTCCAATGCAAACTAGCTTTCCTTCACCAAGGAATGAAACATTTATTTACAAACTGAATTGGGTAGAGGAATAGAAGTTGTTAAAAACTGTTAAATGCAACACTGTAAAAGTGAAATGAGGCACCAGTCATTGTTCAGCAAATGTAACACATCATAAAAAGCCAAATGATTCAGTAATATTATAAAAAAAAAACCCAAACTATGGTACATAGTCCTTCTGGAGAAGAGTTAAGTTAGTAACTTCTGACAACTCTCAAGGAAGTCATCTTTTAGCAGGAATATGGTATTTATAGCTGACCAGCAAAAGACCAGAAGCTATACATAAAGCACTGTAAATTTTGACCTTACCACATTTCACAAACTAAGCATGATCAAGACAGGAATCCTTGAAGTCCACCAGTAATCAGCATACAAAGGTATGCGGGGCAGGTAGCAAGCAAACCCTGAGTAGTTACCAAGCAAATCCAGCTGCAATTACAGAGCGCTATGGTGGTGGTGGTAATTTTTAACCCTCATCATTGGGGGCCAGTTAACTCCACAGTACTTTGACAAGTGTGGACAGTTGCCCCAGTGGCTGCTCAGCATTTCAGTAATTAAAATCTTCTTTGCTAACTATCTCATGCAATTCTAACGAAACACAGTCCTTCCCTCCTACGAAGCTGCAAGTTAGCACAGTCATATGTGGTTTCAGCCCTTGTTGGCTTTTCAATACACTGAGCTGCACAATGAGCAGCACACTTTTCAGCACACTGCACACCTAAGGAGGATTAAGGAGAAGAAAAATAATCAGCACTTAAATGAAAGAATGTTGCTGACATCAGTAATGACAACATTACTGAAATGTTCAGTCAACAGCAATCTTGGATGTTGTTATGTTTTCAGTAGGAAGAGGAATACAAACTCTGCATCATAACGCACTAAGTCAATTTGTACCTCTCAGCTTTCCAATTTAAAGCTAATGAAATTTTTGATGCACAACTGGAAACAGAGAAACGTGTTTCACTAACAGGAATCTCCTTATCACCTCCCAAAATGTCATCATACAATTAAAATTTTAAGTGATAAAACTTTGAAAAGTAACATAATTTGGCTATTTTTATGACTATTCAACTTACAAAATGAATTAAACTTGGTCTGGAAAGAAGGGATAATAAAATTAAAGGGATATCAAACTTTCAATACTACACTGCTGTCACAAGAGTATTTAAACAAAGACACTATTTTTAACAGCTTTATTGGTTTAATACCTGTTGTACAAAATTTGTCTCTGGAATATCATAAGAGGAAAAATTACTCTGCAATTATATTTTGTTTACAGTATTTTAGCAAAGGGGTACAATTCACTATTTTTCTAGAAAATAAACATTCTCAAAATCTGAAATCAATACTGATTTCAAAAAGCAGCACAGTAATATTCCTTGTCTCACAGCAAGAGCCAGAAATACAAGTCTCTCATTTTTTCTCCATGTGAACCACAGGGTGACAGCACTATAAGGTGAAAGGTTACGTTTGCATTTCTACATTGTCTAACTGCAATTCTTTACAAAATACCTTCAGAGTAAAGGCAGTAAAACCAGAAGGATAAAAAAGTATCTGAAAGGCTCATTAGCTTAATCCTTTCAATCACAGAAACAGAGGGCTGATACTGTAAGGGGAATTTCTCTCCCAGTAGAAATGTATGAGTCATAGAATCAAAACCCATTCCAAGCACAGCCATCATGTTCTTTGTTCTTTGAAGAAGTCTGTTCCTTTCAACTCTTCTGGCAGATAGTCCTGCTCTACAGGTTCCTTGTACATGGGGTTATATTTGTAGCCTTTGCCATAGCCCAGGTTCTTCATGAGCCTTGTTGGGGCATTTCTCAGGTGCAGTGGAACAGGTGGCAGAGGTCCTGTGTGCGTTCTCAGACATTCTTTGACGTTGCCATATGCCCTGTACACCTCTATAGACTTTGGTGCTCTGGCAAAGTACACTACACACTGTGCTAGAATCACCTGGAAACAAGAAAAGGGAAAGCGTTAAACCACTTCTTTTAGGCTCTTCAGGAAAAGGTCTGCTATTCGGGTTGTTTGTATGGCATGGCAGGGTTATGTTTCTAAACTGACCTCTGCCTGCTACCATAATACGAATACTATTATTTAACACGGCATCCCGATTTTCACTACTAGAAAATAATGGCTACTTTGGAATATACTGTTTTACTTAAAAGAGAGAGAAAAAAATGGACAGAGCAAAATGATATAAGTTCATATATCATATTTTGACAATAAACGTGCAGCGAAATAAAGTGAATTTGATTTTAAACTACAGCATACATTTTAAGAGCTACAATGTTCTCTTGTCAAAGAAGGGGGGATGCTGAATGAACAAGTAACTAAGGTTGCCTTGTCCTTGCAATCTGTTACATTTTATAGTTACAGACAGGTTTTACAGTTTGCAGTACTTTCAAATAAGTGAATTAATGAAGCCTTTACCTCACATTCTGGCATTCCAATAAAGTGACAGCCTTGATAAGCAGCAACTGCTTGTGTTAAAGCCAGAGGATCTGCCAGTCCTACAAAAAGAGATCAGATAAAAGCAGGGTAAAGTTTATGTCTCTTTTTTTTTTTTTTTTAAATATTTCCTCTACCGGGCAATATCCACGCAAATTTCAAACTTGCTTTCTCAGATGCTGGAATTTCTGGTACAATATCGTACCAGACATAAGATATACTCCCTCCATACAAAAGCCTTCCCTCTTCTGTCCCCGCTCCCCCCTCAAAAAAAAAAGGTCTAAGTCATGGGTACAATTTATGGGTTGAATCTGCTGCCACACAGTGGTGGTCTGAGAGCAGTAGCTGACCAGATTATGATTCTCTTACCTTTCAGAATTGATAAAGAAATGGGAAGATACTGCTATATAGACATAGCTTCCCCAGATCTCCTAACTCTTCGCCCATCACACATGTGCTAAAAGTGTTACTGCACCTTCTACTTTGGACAAGTCAAGCAAGATTACAACTAGGGAGCCAGCTATCAAATCTGAGGTTTGTAAGTCAGGGTAGGCATTCACTTGCCAGACTCATTAAAAGATCACACATCCCTGAAATACACGCTCTGTGGCACAAGGTTACTGGAGATATACAACCATCAGAGTTTAAAAGAATTTACATTAATACACTGCCAAACCTGACCTCAAAAACATCTGTTTCTCCTGCAGCAGGTAATCATCACAATGACACCACACACGTAGGTCTCTGTCTGCATACACAAAGCTTTTTGTTGAATGTGGGGCATTTCAGTATTTTGTACCTATTTTGCACATAGCAGTTTTTGTGGTTTCCCCCCCACCCCGAAAAAAACCAATTTTTAAAAACCAGAAGCTTGTCAGATCTTCATTTAACATAATATTCCAACATGAAGTATTGCAAATACTGACCTATATCTTCACTTGCAAACCTCACCAGCCTCCTTGCCACATAAAGTGGATCCTCACCACCTTCAAGCATTCGAGCAAGCCAGTAAAGGGAAGCATTTTCATCTGAGCCTCTCATAGACTTGTGCAGGGCAGAGATGCAATTGTAATGTTCTTCTCCTATTTAGAATTGGGGAGAAGTGATACAAAAAGCTGTTAGGAGGAAATTACATGAAATGCATTCAAGGGAACAGAATACATTTTACTAAATCAGTAAACCTAATCTTTTCAAGTTCTAAACTTTTTCAAGTTCTTTTTACGTCTATGTGGTTAGTCTTCATTAATGTTTTCAATGCCTTCATGGTTTGCCACATGAATCATCCCACTAACTACATAAGCAAAACAGAGCAACTGTAAACAAGAAGAAGGTGGTTTTTCTTAAACATTGCAAGGCAAACAATTTCGGTTTTGTACCCTCATGACCTTTCCTTCAAAAAAAACCACAACCCAGATATTTTAATCAGTTAGGAAGAAGACTATTTAAACAGCTCCTACCTGGCAAAGAGTAAAATATGAGCACATAAAAATGATAAAACTTGAAAATAAAGTGTGCAGTAAATCAAACATGAGCTTGATGTATTATATGGGGGGATGGGTGGGGGGAAACGAAATGTTGCTGTGGATACACAATGATGGAACATTACACAATTTGGAGAAAAAAGAATTGCAGCACACAACCCTGGTAAACCCCTAAGAAATCCTGAGTTTAGTTGTGGACACCTGCACTACTGGAAGGGTCTTGAAAACTGAAAGCAGACGAAATAAAAAACCCTACATAAACAGTACCTGAAATGCAAGACTGCTAAATAAGAAGTGAGGAGACTGAATAAATTATAGGGATTATTTTTTAATATTAAAGTTTAATATGTGATTAGATATGGACTCCAAGGAGAAACGAAGCTATTACACAGATCTTTTAAGGATACACTTAAAAATAGAGGTTCAGTATTACAAACACTGTAAAAGAACCTTCCTGATTACAACTTTTGTCTGTGTGGCTGGTTTTGATTCTTATGCATTTCTTTTAATCAAACTTGCAAGAGTATTTTGGCACAATATTGTTGTTAAACTTTCCATGTAATCTGCCCTTCTTATTTTTTAAAGTGCCTGGCATTCCTTGGCTTACAGCTAAGCATGTACTATAAAGGCAACTGGCTGCATGCACAGCCATCTGTTAATATTTCTCCTTTTCCTCAGGCTAGAAGGATTTACAGCCTGAGGGCCATGTCAGAACATACCACCATCACTTGTAGGCCCTGAAAAATAAAAGGCTGCATGTAGCAGTTTGAAAACCAAAATCCCCACAATGCTGCAGTTGCCTCTTTCACAGCCAGCAAGGTCAGAAGCTGGGTTCATCCTCCTCCATCTCTGCTCATGCTGGAGTGTGGTTCTGTGGGGAATTCCACACACGCGATGCTGGTGAACACAGGCTGACAGGCAGCTATTTTTGCTAGGACTCCACACAAAGAGCCCTGAGGTATGCAGCCATTACTCCTGCCAACACAAACAGCATGGCCATGCTCCATCATGACACTTGAGTTAGTAGCAATAAACCCAAGCAGCTGAACTCGCATTGTCCCCTTGGAAGAGGAGTCTCTTGGTCTCTTAAAAGTAAAGGAAGATGGTTTTTAAATATCTCCAGAGGTTGCACTCGCCCAGATTGTTCTGCTGGACTGCTTTTTTATATCCTGTTCGGGGTACTGTAAAGTGTCATATTTGGGGACACCAGCTGGAGAGGCAGAAGGAATGCAGTGGATAGGCTGGGCTAGATATATATATACCTGCAGGCGGCTTCAGATTCTGCAGGCTGAGAAAGGGAACAGTTTTCTTCTCCCTTTATCTCCTTGCTCACAAAGTTAATTTTGGTGACTGAGCCATTAACATAATGACAATACTTATACACAAAGATTCGGGACTTCTTCAGAAAAAATGCATTAAATGCAGTTTCAATTAAAGACAAGATACAGTGACACACTGGACAGAGGTGTTATGTTTCCACTTAACAAAATACAGTTTATAGATATCTTATTTGAGATACCAGAAGCAGCCTAAGAAAAAAACTAGAACTTTTAGTAGACCTTTATTTGTTAGTTCTGTCCCTCAGTCTGGTTAGCCAACATGTAGGTTTTGGCTGTATCAATTCAGCTGAGAGACAGACACAGCTTATCTATCACTGCTGTTCTGCATCCCAGATGCCTCTTGAAATCAAAACTATAAAGAGTTTTTGGAATCAAAATGTATTTGTTCTATGCAGTTCCCACAAAGGCAAATACCTTTCCGAAACAAGATACTACACAAGAGGCTTTGTGGAGGGAAGGATTTTCTTGTGTCTAATGTATACAGATGTATAAATCTTGTTGATATATGCCCATAAATTGCTTTTTGTGCCAAAGAGTTTTCAGGCTAATTTAAGATGCCAGTTTATCTAGAGTCTTACTGGTAGATGACAGGGAAAAGGTCTCATTCACTGACCATAATTAATATTTGGAGTTCTTAAGCTGTTCCTATTTAGTAAGGTAGTGGGCAAAAGTAAAATCACAGTCCCCATCTGACATTCTTTTCTATCTTTGCAACTCATTAATAAAGGACAGAAGAAAGTCTTGAAAGTACAACTAGAGCAACAGCACAGATAAACAGACTTCTCATTGTGGTCTAGCAGAACAAAATTAAGCTGGAAAAAAAGATGGTTGCTGGCAGTGAACTTTGATTAAAGTTGTTTCTTTGTCCTTCCAGCTAAAATGCATAAATGTCTTTACATGTCTGCATACATATCAGAACAACATCCTAACAACCAGATTATGAATAATGGCTTTCTTAGATTACTTGATGAAAGTACAGAAGAGAATGCCCAACTACATGTATTTGGCAAATTTTGCAGAAGGTAACAAAAAAAAAAAAAAATTTTGTAAAATCAAAATTCCATATCAAAATTCCATATTTACACAACTCTGAACACTAATCATGGTGCTCTCTACACGAACACACTACCTTTACATGTATGTTGCTGCTATCATGATTAGACAGCATCATGTGCCTCCACTTTATAAGGCTGAAGCATTTTATTTTAGAGAATTGTAGATTCCACCACCACAACTGTGATTCAAAATTTATCAGTTAAAACATGCTACAAGTCTTTATATAGCAGCCTCTCTTCAGAAGCCCTTTGTACACAAAAGGACAAACAACTTTACTATGGACAAAAGTGGTTAACCGAGGTACAGAAGAGAGAAATTCTGTAAACACATGTACTTGGGCAACCTGCTACTGTGGTAATATCTGTGGCAGGCTCTTTGACATGTGTACAATCAAGAAAAAATGAATTTTGATTGCTTTCACCACTCTCTAAAAATCTCTGACCAAAAAACCCCACAATAACCCACAATAAGGATTTCTGTAACAGAGAAGGGCCTGACACATGCTACCTAGACTGGATGCAAGCCTCAGAAACAGGCACTCTGTGCCATCTCTAACAGAGCAAGAAGGCGTAGGAGGGCTGGGAGCAACGGACACAGCCAAGAGTTCTGTGTGACAGTGGCCACAAGGCGACAGCAAACACACAAGGGACCTACATGGCACAAGAGACTCATGCTGGCAAACTAGTCAGATTTTCCACTTCCTTTCAATCATGACCTCTTCCTGCCACAGACCCCATAAAATTCTTCTTCTCCCTCCCCCTGCCTACCCCGAACTTCTCAGCTGCCATTCTACCAGTATCTGCCCAGCTACCTTGCTCCTGACCATGAGTCATCATTATTTCTTAGAAAGGCTGCAAGTAGGCATATGTTACAACCAATCTCAATAAAGCTCTCATCACAGTTTTTGAACAGTGACAATTAATTAAGTATACCAGATACAGTGGTAAAAGAAAAAAGAAAATCAATCAGTTCTTCAAATACTGCTTGGCATAATCATTTGATACTATCCTGGACGGTCATTCAAGTATTGATGAAGAACTACATATTAATTCAAGGGGATTCATGTAATCTCTAATACTCACTGATTTTTAACCCTCTCACAAAAAATGGCATAGTGGCCAGCTACTGTGATGCCTAAGATTTCCAAGTCATAAATTTAGCAAGAGTGGTTATCACATTAGGAAGCCTTAAATGTAATTAGATTTACATGACCTGTCCTAAGCAAGCTACAAAATTCATTACCTTAAAAAGCAACTCTAAAAATAAAGCTAACTGCTCAGGTTTTGACGTAACATACTGCTGTGAATGTGAGCACTTTTAAGTCTTTCAAAGGAGTAGAAGTGCAGTGGAAGATATCTAACCCTCCAAGAAAAATGTTCTCATCAAATTCTTCTCCTTCTTTACACTGCAATCCTTGTAGAAGACAATATTCTAATAACCTTAAATAACAAATAATTTCACCACGCAACTGTTTTCAGAGCAGCAAATGTGTCTTTCAGCTAACCTACACTTCCTAAGTGCTAAGAGGAAACCCTGTTTAGAAGGAATTTCTGGCTGAACTGCATTGTACAGGAAAACTAGTTTCTAGGACAAACCACTATTTCACTAGAGCACCTGGTATGAAAAAGGGAGAAGAAAAAGAAATTACAGAGACTATCCCCTCTTGAGAACACTGCATCTTAGAAACTGTATCAGGTACTCACCTGCTCGGTCATACAGGATGTGGGATCGCTGGAGCCCTTCCTTTACGTGCTCTTCAGTTATCAGAATGCCATTTGCAGAACCACCTTTGGTAATATTCAAAGGAGTAGTCTTCCCTGCGGCTAATCTGGCCTGAACTGCTAGCTGGAGTCCATTCAGTCCAGTCCTTGCATCACCATCGCAAAGGTAGGCGAGTGTGTTTAGAGCTTTGGCCTCTATGAACACTGGGGATCTGCAACAGAATAACCACACACCATGAGCCCCCATCACGCTTATTATGCTAGAGATGGTGGTGCTTTACAAAGTTTGTTGAGATGCAGCTGGGCTTAAGATTTATTCTTAACTCATCCTGCCTTGATTAAGCACTGCAGAGCCAGGGGGAATACCGTGGCACGCAACCCTCTTCCTCCTGATCCAATGCCTGTTAAATAAAATTGCACATGAAAAATGTAGGAATGAACTCTCATCTATTTAACTCCCTTATTTTAACTCACCTCACTAAACTCAATGGAAACTGGGCTTAGGTTTTCACCAGAACAAAATTCTGACACAGCCAGTTGAACTTTACACGAGGTTTTACTCCATCACCATTTCAAATTCCTTGTTGGAAGAACAATGAAAAGGTAGAAAGCTATCCAAATGCAGGTGAGAGAATATAGTGAGTTATAAAGTAACTACCATAAAGTTTTGGACAAACTACCAACATCAAGAGTTGCTGTTTTCTTTAAAAAGCAACAACTGGAAGGATTTTTTACATTGTAAATTATATCCATCCTACTTTTCTTTTTTTTTTTGCATGGTATTACAGCTTTAGTCAGGGGGGTACAAAAGAGAATCTTACTATAAAGAAATGGCATCCCATACATGCATGTCACTCTTCTTGCCATCTACTACTCTAAACGTGCCAGGACTACACAAATACATGAAAAAGGCCAAATTCCAGCGAACTCATAGTCTAAATGAACAACATGGGAAGAGCTGAGAAATGGAGCAGCAGGTGAAGGATCTCTTGAGATCTCATAGTGGGTCTATGAAAAGTCTGGGAGAACAACAAAGCTTTGTCTCCAAGTTTTCATCTACTGGGCTGCAGTCCCCACTGTTGGGGCACACACAAACCAGCTCACCTCTGCACATGTCGCAGACATACTGTTGAGGATTTAACTCTCAAACTTTAGTTAGGTAGACAAGGTAACACCTATGATGTTTGCCAGGCAGAAGATAGAACTGATTTGATTTGAAAACAGTAACTAATGGAGTAATGGCCCTAACTGAGCCATTTTCAGTAACTGGACTGCAAATCAAGAGTGACATGTATCAGCAGGGATTAACACACAGACCTTGGTGTGAGAGGCACTTTCTTATGAAGCTCTTGTGTGTCAAATAATCAGGGATTCACAACAGCCCTGCACTTCATCCACCAAAACCATATATTACTGTTATTACCAATGTTGTAAAAAAAGGCAACCCCAAGGGTCCCAGAAACATGTACCCCACTAATCTTCATTACTTGACTCCTCTTCCTGCTTGCAAACCCACTTTGGACTTGTCCCACAAAAGAAAAGGACTGTACGTCCTGGAAAAATTTCAACAGTTAATATTCGAGTACCCTCATGGCAACACATAAGAGGAAAAAGCTAGTAGAGCTGCAGTCTTAATCCACACCACTTTAAATGAAGGCCACCAAATGTCTTCTAGGGTCAAAACCCATGCTGCAGAGAGTAGGCAGCAGGAATCACACTCTGTGGGAAAAATAAATTTATATACCCGTATCTCGTCATACCATTTTTCCATCTTCTTATTTCTTCTGTATTTGATAAAGCTAGGAACAAAATTTAACACACATACAGTGGCACTTTTGCCAGGTGTTTCAAACACCATTTTTGTTTTCGAATGAGGAAGCAGAAGAATACAACAGCACAGGGACTTACTCAGTCAATTATCTCAGGCATCAAATTCCTTGAAAATCAGGGAGCAACATTCATGCCTCAGTACTACAGATAGGCACCAGAGTTTTCATATGCATTGAAAAAAGCCAACAGGAAAGCAAAATCTATTTTTAAAAAAACAGCAGGCACTACATACAGACATCCTGCTGCTATTACCTCCATCAACGGGGAACAAAACCAAATATATGGCACAGTGAGCAAACACTCTGGATACACTAGCAGGGCATACTGAAGAGAAGGTTTCACCTGCAAGGACCAACTTCTTTGCCTGCTGTTTGCAGAGAAGAACATCATGCGCTTGAGGCCTCCTCAAACTGACACCCACCACCAATACATGCAGTGACTGCCAAGAGGAAGGGAAGCGCTGAAAGCATCACAAGGCAGGTACTACACTTGGAAGAAGCTGAATACAGTCTACACCAAACAAAGTTGAGGCTTCAGAGCACTTTTGCCATTTATCTGCTAACTAGAAGCTCGGCAAAAAAAGCTGAGTTGTATTCCTGTCTCTTCAATTTCACTCTAGGACTCACAAGTGCCCTGTTGACTCAACACAAGCAACTTATACGACAGAAATTGAAACAAATATTCACAAGAAAGTATGGAAAATCTGGTTACAAGCAAAGGTCTTGTTCACTTCCATAGTGAAATTCACCTCTCACTTCAGCAAATCATTTCCTGCAAGGAAACTGGATGGATGTTCCAATAAAGGAATAATTTTCAAAAGGGTATTGAGCACCAAAGACCCAAAGGAATTCCATCTTCAATGTTGTGATTTACAAGCCAGTGAATTCAAAACATGTCAGAACTTGTGACACAGCCAGAAAACAGATGAACTGCATGGTGTCTGAGCTTGCCAACAGGAAACTGGGGATCCTCTCATTTCCCTCAGCTGTGTGCCTTCTATGCTATCTAACTTCAAAGACATTAATCCACTATCCAGTCTACTGCCTGACTTCAATTAGAGATATCACTCTGAGGGCAGCACTGGGATGACAAAAATAAAAAGCTAAGAAAAGAATTTGATTTCCTCCATCACTGACACAGTAGAAGTGTCAGTGTACACCTGGAACAGTTTGTGCTGCTATTGAGCCAGCATAAACTTCAGAAAGCACAAGCAAAGGTGCAGCAATATAAAGCATCCACAACATTGACCTCTTACTTTTCTTCATCCTGAATATGTTTCTTCGTTTCCTGTTACCCCATCTTTCAGTTTGATTTACTGCAGACTTTATAGGCACAGTTTGGTGGCAGTAACACTGATGAAAATGTAACACAAAGCACATCTTATCCTAAAGAAACCCAATAACTAACATAAAAACTGTCAAAGAAGCTTTATGAGCCATGATGACATAACAAAGATGCCAAAGTAGGTAACACCTCCTGCTAGTTCTGTTTCAGCTTTAGAGCAAGAAAGGGCCACAATGGAATGAAAGAGAAGCCAGGTGACCCAACCCTATCAGAAATCTTCAGCAATGGTGGAAGAAAGATAAGAAAAAGCCACCAAGAAAATTTAAGAGAACAGGTTTGGGTAGAGAACATTTTCCTTGTGGAGTGCCGATGATGAAACCCACTGAATGACAGAGTGATAGCTGCATTCTTTTTGAGCACAGAAGATGCCTGTAGAGACTAAGGAAGATTCACCCCTCACGTTATTCCTCAGGGTAGTAGGAGAGACCACAAAGAATCATCCCGTTCTTCAAAATCTCATACAGGTAAGCCATCATGTCAGACAAGTGATGTGATACTAAAACCATCTGAAAAACTGAGGCCAAGCAGCACATTCAGTACTTCATACTGTGGCTTCATACTGTGGCTTGGAAAAAGAGGCTCACATGGGAAATTAAGTCTAAAATTCAATGTACACATATCTTGTGCCTTCTGGCTAGATCTCTGCAGCATTTTCAAAGTAGGCATAGCCCACTATTTGGGGACATGCTGCCTTACAGCTCCTTTTCTAACTATGGAACAAAGGTGAGCACAGTTAACAACCAAATCAATTCTAATTGATGACTTTAATTTATGCCTCAAGACATCATGAACAGTTACCTGCCTGCATCTAATGACAGCCCTGCTTCATAGAAGTAGAGTGGTCAAAAGGTATGAGACAGCTGCTACTGAGGAGTAGTAGGTGGAGAGGAAATGACAGAGCAGAAATGGTATGAACAGTGAAGCAAGAAGATGGAATTAATGAGGCGGCCAAAACCAGAACCACAGTAAGGGACAGGATGGATTATAAAAAAACTAAGTCATCAGCAACTCTATGTAGCCACTGTGGACCTGAACCAGCTACTGTCAGAAAAGACAAGAAAGACCTGACATGCAACTGCAACAAATTCTCCTTAATTCAAAACCTTATTTTTATTTTCAAGTGCTTGGCTCCCACGTTAGCCCTCTGGAGTGTGGCCCTCTCTATTCATGGAGAGATTACTGAAACTGTGCTAGTCTGATAGTCTACCTGCCAGACTTCTTTCAGTTTGATGAAGCACTACACTGTGCTGTTTAAATCATCCATAGCTATTGGAAGGTTACAGATACAGAGTCTAGAGAAACCCAAACCCAAACAACTGCAGATGAAACTATGCCTTGTACTTTAATCCTGTATAGCAAAGAAAGTCTCTGAACCCTAGTCAGGGTGTAGCCACAACCACAGCTGTGCCATTACATTAAGGCTGACATGCAGTACTCCCTTCTCTTCTAAAATTCACATTACTACAACATCTAAAAGTTACAAATGAGTAAACTATGAGGCAGGGTAACCTAAAGTCTAAAATGGAACACCTTTCCTTACAGCCCTGACCTCAGCATTCAGATCAGCGATTCTTAGTGCTTACATTCTGTGATAAAGTTCAAGCGGATTCCCTCTCATTTGTTTCATACAGAATGCCTGCCAATCACCACCATGTCAGTGCACTGTAAATTACTAGGAGTGTAGCCAAAAACCAACATGAAGGAAGTGTAAGAGCCCGCATGTGAATACCAAAGTACCAAGCACTACTCTTATTTGCCAGCCTTCCATTTCAGAAGGCAGATAACATCTCTTACGGACAAATCCGGACCTTGTTTTTTTCCAAAATGTTCTCAAGTATTTAATGTGACTCTATCTGGCCTGGACATTAGGGAGCAGAGAAAAAAGAAGTCTTTTAACATCTCACAGCAACAGCCTCCTCTCCTCAAAGGATACCATAAAATATAGTACAGCACAAATCCTGCAACTAAAGAACACGAACAGCAGTATCCTCCCTGATCTTATTAAAAAAAAAAATTCTCAAAACAACAAAATTTTGTCAGGTACTTTCAAATTAATTAAGAGGGGATACTCTGTCCACTACTGAACAGTAACATGATGCTTTTGCAACCGGTTACAAGAAGTAACACACATTAGAACATGACAAAGACCCAGCTACAGGCTTCCACAGCAAATCCTCAGCAGCAGAATGGATTTAAATATCCTGTGAGGGTGAGTCAGGAGCTACAGATCCAAGTATAAAATTCTCTCCTAATCCAGACGGTAAGATTATGTTTTGGATGGAGAGAGCCAATGCTTTGGATTCTCTCTCTCCTGTCACCCCCGCCCCTGCCATATGCTGCCACTTCTTTTCTTTACTATCAGAAGTGGCTAGGGTTTCTCTTCCCACCCCCCAACTGCTTCATTCTCTCCCTGGCAGGCAGTCAACTCCTCGGGCTGTGTGCGTTAACACCCTGCAGCCCATAAAGTACTCACTCCGAGCTCTCGCTGCCGCTGCCAGTCGCAGAGCTGCCGTGCTGGTCGCCCTGGCCCAAAACCTGAAGCCCTAAGGACCTGACGGCCCGCATCAGAATTGCCTCCATCGCTTCCACCGAGAGCTTCTCCAGGACGATCACCCGGCACCGGCTCAGAAGAGCAGCGTTGACCTGGAAGGAAGGGTTTTCTGTGGTCGCTCCTATCAGGGTCACCGTCCCGCACTCGACGTGAGGAAGGAAAGTGTCCTGAGGATGGGAGGGAAGCAGAAAAAGCTGATCTCGATCAATGACAACCTGAAACATCCCAGGTGAGCAGGCTATGGTTTTTTTGGGTTTTGTGAGTCTTTGGCTTCCCTGTTGATATGACAAATAACCACACTGACAAGGCAGTTCATCTGTGTAGATATGTAAATTATTTAATTTCATGCAACACGCTAAAGGCTGTTCACCTTAGTAACAAATGGTTGGACTAAGAATGACCCTACCTGATGAAAACAGGGTAAAAAAATCTGTAAATTTTTCGTTTATTTATATTGCTTGGCAACACAAGAAATCATGAAATTGCCTTATCAAGTATAATGAATAGTGAGGCTACCCTACAAACCAACCTTTGGGGCTATAATTCTATAGGATGGCTCAAAAAACTACAGGAAGATTGCAGTACAGTTCAATATAAAAACTGTAACCTGTAGTGCAGCATTCAAGCTTTCCATGTTACAACTACAGAAACTTTATAACTAGAAAAGGAAAAGAAAAAATACCCAAGTAATGGCTGCAGTAACATGTTATCCCAAAACACCATACAGTAACATGTTATCCCAAAGCAGCCTTACTTTTTTTCTCACAGAGTAGAGGGGACAACATTAAAATACATACCCTTGGCACATTCACATTCCATACCTTTTTAAAGGTAATACAGAATGCTACCCTGAGATGGAGGCTGAAATGCAGATGTGTGCAGCAAACATTACTAACATGACTTTGCAGAAATAAAATTTCAGAAAAATATCATATAAGGACTCGCATGTAAGTCAACTATAACTCAGCCTTTTATTTAAACCTTTGAATCACAATAATTAAATGATGGTTGGAAGTAAGTGAAGGAATTTAATTTTTATATTTCTTCCTAATTCACCTACTAAAAACATTAACACTGAAATCAAAAGCCCAAAGGAAGGTATCATCTTAAGGTAAAGTAGGAAATTTTACAGAAGTGCTGACAAAAGCTTTTTTCAAAAAGCGGTGTAGTACAATACCTGCTGAGATTTATTGAAACGATGGATTTCATCAATAAAGAGGATAGTTTTTCTCTTGAAGAGTCTTCTTTCATTCTGGGCTTGGCTGATGACATCTCGAACATCATTTGTCTTGGCACTTGTGGCTGACAGTGTCACAAACCTCGTGCCATTCTTTTTGCTGTTGTTGGCTATGATGTGTGCCAGTGTAGTCTGAAACAGCAACAGGAGAAAGCTTTGTAAAAATAATTTTGGACACAGAAAGTACACATTTGAAGAAAATATGTAAAGAGCAAACCTATATATTTTGGACACAGGGACAGTGTTGACAGTTTATACAGTAAGCCATTTTAGCTCATGTTATTCTAGCACACGGAAGACTTCTAAACTTCCTGCTAGAGGTAGCTGCCAATTCCTCTGCTGCATTTCTAATGCCTGCACTTTTACGTACCAGACCCAGTCAGTCTCAATACTGAAAAGGCCAGCAATGACAGCTGTCTCCTTTCTCATGGAAGAAGAACTCTTTGCCAAATACTTATCTGTCACAGAAGACAGGCTGACTGCAATTCACTGTGCAGTTATTTTGTAAAGTATGTTAATAGCTTAAGAGCTGGACTATCCCAAGACACCTGCAGCAGGGTTTACAGTGCAATCACATTTCACAGATTCACAGAATATGCTGAGTTGGAAGGGACCCACAAGGATCATCAAGTCCAACCCTTAGCCCTAGACAGGATCAGCCCCAAGAGTCACACCATGTGCCTGAGGGTATCATCCAAAGGCTTCTTGAAATCTGGCAGATTTGATGCTGTGAGCACTTCCCTGGGGAACCTGTTCCAGTGCCCAACCACCCTCTGGGTGAAGAAAGGTTTTCTAATATCCAGCCTAAACCTCCACTGACACAACTTCAGGCCATTCCCTCGGGTCCTGTCACTGATCACCACAGAGAAGGGATCAGTGCCTGCCCCTCCTCTTCCCCTCATAATGAAGTTGCAGACTGCAATGAGGTCCCCTCAGTTTCCTCCAGGGTGAACAGACCCAGTGACCTCAGCCTCTCCTCATACAGCTTCCCTTCAAGGCCCTTCATCATCTTTGTTGCCCTTCTTTGGACAGACACTCTCTAATAGCTTATTATCTTTCTTATATTTTGTAGACCAAACCTGCACACAAAAAACACAACTGAAAAACAAAAACCTACAATGTTGTTAATAAACCCTTTTCTATTTCCAATACACATGAAAATGAAATTAATCAGACAGCAGTTTCTACAAAATCATGGGAATGTTAGTACTGAAAAATTATATGTATGCTTAAGAAAATGTAACTCTTAAATCTAAATAGTCAACAGCAATCAAATGCTGACCCAGGGAAGTAAAAGACAGCAGACTGAACAAGCTGTTGGCTGTTTTTAGTGAGCAGCTATGTTGTTTTTCTTTCCTTATAAACAATCTCTTCAAATCAGAATTTGTTTATATAGAATTTCACAAAGCCTACCAAAGCACAGAAGCAACCTCGTGGGTGGATTTTTTACACCTGAAAACATCACAGTCACTATTTTCAAACTTTCCTTCACAACCCTTAGTAAAGGTGGGTGTATCTGCATGTCCCAAGCAGAGTGTATCTCAATTTGAAAGTACTGCTGGAGAAAAGAGGTGGTTCTTCCATCAAGCTCACTCTTCTATTAAAGAAGGAGCCTGAGGAGAATTAAGACAGGAGAGCCTCAGAAGATGAGGAGTGGGACAGGTGCTGGCAAAATTACCACAGAAGATGTTCCAAGTGTTGAGGTTAAAGCAGCAGGTGCTGTCAACCTGATCCTCTTGCAGGGAGGCTACAGAAACAACCACCTACCACTTGGCTACCAGTGGTGTTGCAGCACTGCTCTGTCTCTTTAATGGATCTCCTTGTCTCAGAAATGGCAACCAGCCCAAGATGGAAAAGCAGAGGCTAAGGAGGAGGATGTATCACTATTTATTCTTGCTTTAGTTTTAGTAAGGGCTTCCTGATTGTTTTCAGAAGTGGTGTCATTTCAGGTCCTGATATAAGACTCATATTCCATGTCAGATCTTCTCTCACTCCCTGGAGCTCAAGCAACCAGCTCCTCCCCAACTTGTATCACTGCAGAAGATAAGACTTGAAAGACACTTAGAAAGTGTTTGCAGCAAAGCCTGTAGAAATCAGGAAGATCTGGAAAACAAACCAACCAACCAAATGTCCTCCCCTCAAAACAAAATAAAAACTATCTTTGAAATTAAGCTACCAAATTAAAACCAAAGTTTGTGTTTCCTTACAAAAGGGCTTTGATTCAGAATGTACCTTCAGAGGATATACCCATGCCTTAAAAATCTATGAAAGCATGGAAAATCCCCAATACATCAAAGTTGAGGATGAAAAAGGAAAATGTACCTCTTCCTTCTCTAAAAGTGGTAGTGGTGAGAGGAGGAAGAAAACTGAAAAATTAGTCAAGTGGCTATTTGTCTTGTAGCTTCTCTTGGACTGGTAGCTCACATTGTACCTGGCTATCATTCAGAGAGTTTTGTTGTTTAAAACAAAAGCTGTGAGGAATTTGTTTTAAATACATGCAGGAATCCATACTTCTAACAGCAATTTAGGAAAAAGAAATACAAAGAGATTTGCTTGAAAGTTACTGTTAGACCAAGAATCTACTTGAAAACTGCTGCACAGCTCTCAGCCAGCACGTACCTCTCCTGCTCTGCCAAGTTCAGGGTCACCAAGGGTTGTAGTAAGAATAACATACATTGCCTTTCAAAAGCAGTGTTTGACATGGACAGGCGTGTTCACAGCCTCTTTCTTCTATTTTGCACAATTAATCAGTCAGCAAATCTAACTGCCTATCACATACAGATCAAACTTTCCCTGGTCTCTGAAAGACTATTATTTCCCATGAGCTCAGGTTTTTTATGCTGCTTTTTCTCCCACCATCTCAAGCAAAAGTCAGTAACATTCAACACTGTTTTCTCCCTGTTACTTCAGGTTACAACCTAAGAGAACACATAACCGAGTGGAGACTTAACTTAAGCAGGGTTGCTTAAGCATGAAGGCACTAGCAGAGAACAACTGTAACTCGTATGCTAGACTCATATTTTCCCCTCACTAAATTCAGAGGCAATGCATTTTAGGGATAAGAAAATTAGAAATCTGATATTAAATAAGGCAGAAGAAAACACACTGAATATCCTTCACCACCTAAAATAATTCTGAATTTTGATTGTTACATTAGAAAGTCTTTTAAAATAGTAAATAGTTGCAATTTAATATGAATTAATAACACATCTGTATCAGAACTGTGTAACAAGCAGGAAGTGGAAATCTAAACAAGTTGATAATCTGCTCCTTTTATTATACAGGTGTTTCTCAATTAGCTTGTGTCCTTTCTTTATGAGGAGAAGTAGAAATATTGTTTCCCACAAATTTAGGAATAGGAGTGATCCTGCAAACTAACCTTTTGCTAACTTCACTAAAAATTACACCTTACAAAGCTCACAGTCCTTGCCCCTTCCAGAAATCATTCTCAGTTCTATTATCACACCACACTACCCAAACTCGCACCTATCATGCCAAGTTTTATGCTGAAAATTGTGAGACCTTACTGACTTACCTGTTTGGACAACCTAAAGCAGTGCCATCATAAGGAGCTGTTCTGAAACACAGAAACATATTCACCAAGAAACTCCTGAATCATTACTCACCAATTAATAACACTTTCAACTTCAGCCTGTGGTCATTTATGTCCAGACCCACTACACACAGAGCAAACACTTAACTGCTGAAGCCTTCATTTACTGTCCTGTACATTGCTTTGTGTCAGCCCAAATAAGAATATCCTCTCCCACAGGCTGCAACCATAAAAAACCCAGCAACCAAACACAAAAATAGCCAAACAAGCTCACTCTAAGCCAACTGCGCTACCAGTTCTTCCAGGCTTTGATACAAGTTACGGATGAAACAAAAGCAACCCATAAAGCATGCTTGGCTCCACACACCTCTCACTGTCACAGCAGAAAAGTCAACCCGATTTGCTGTTTGGTTAGCTGGCTGTTTGTACTAGGAGATAAGAATTTTCTGCATACTACAAGTTTCCTTGACTGGACAACTCTCTTTTGAGTATTTCCCTGCTCTCTGCACTGTCACTAGTTATGCAGCTTCATACCCATGGCTGGAAGAAAACAGTAAAATGCAAGTACTAATGAAGCCAGTTGTATTGATACTGATGTTCAGTGACTAACATTACCTTCTTAGAAGTAAGGTAGTCTTTTGATTTTTGCACCCCTGTACCAGGCCATTAAAATATGCTCATCGTGTTAGCTCACCAAAGCCCCTTACTGGAATGAAGAGTGATACTGCCTAGCTCTCTTCAAAAAGTGGAACTGAAAAAAATTGGGGAGAGATCAGAATATATGGTCATATCACAGTCAAGAAGACCTGAGTCAAGAAGTTGACTGTGAAACCTAAGATCATTCCTAAGTTTTGTGGAGATCAGGTAGATCTTGTTTAGGGATTTGCCTAAGGCTGTCCGTTCATGGAGACTTCCCTTAATTATTCTTACATTGCATAAATTTAGTGAAACAACCCTTGTAGATGTCAGGCATAGAAAACATATGATCTCTCATTTACATCTATCCTGTCATCAGCTTTCATGCCAGAAACTCCTGCAATGCGTGGAGAAATGCTCACAGTTGTTCTGTTCCAACCTTACAGCCCTTTTCATGAGGAGTTGCCATTCACACTACACGTTGCAGGAGCACGCTGGTGCTCTCCTTCCAGCCGGATGGGTCCCTCCGACATACACGCTTCGCCCAGAAAGTATGGAAGTTGTATGCTCTGCCAGGCCACGTTTTGGTGACCAAAGCAGATCTGGCACAGATCGGTACTAGTGTTTAAACTGCAGTGCAGCATGGATTATTCCTGAGCAGGGATAATCTTGCTGGCATGTAAGTCTCCCCAACAAATGACTTTGCTGGTTTGTTCCAGAGCAAACCACAGTGTGAATTATGTTTGTGACAGAGATGACAAAAGTAGCATCCTGATTTTCTTTGTGGCTGTTTGACCATGATTTTCTTCGTATTTTTTCCTCTCCTTTTATTCTGGTCAGGATTTCCAACAAGGAAATCCTAAACCTTTGTTTACAAGGTGCTGCCATCAATGTCCTCTCCTCACCCTGCCTTTGCTAGAAGCAGGGCCATACTGTGGTTGAAAAGCAGTCAGGAAAGGCCATACTTTGTTTCACTGCCTTGAGGGAGGCACCAACACTGCCAGCATTCTTGGATGCCAAAAGGGGGAATGATTCCCCAGCATGCAGCTCAGAAAGCTGGGGTCTGTCCTACCCAACACTGCTGAGCTGACCCAAGCTACCACACTGCGTCACAGGAGATAATTCTGGCTGTGTGTCTAAAGGAAACTGGCAGGATAGCAGATGAACATGGCCTGGGGACACTGTCTATACAGATAAACACAATCAAAAGTAGCAGCAGTTGGCATTTATATAAGGGCAGATGCTATTCTTACCCATCTTGTTTGGTTCCTCACACCCCAAATAGCCCCCTGAGATACTACCGGAGGAGTAAGTGTCACTGAACAAGAGCCACAACATATGGTTTACAGCACTTCCAGAATCCAAGCCCAACCAAACATAAACAGATGCAAGGTCATTGCATAATGTTTACTGAAATGGAGCTGTTGCCTCCATTTGCTGTATCCAGATATGTCTCCTTATGTTCCAACTTTTTTATGAATACAATTGTATTTTCTCTTCCAGCTTTCTCTTCCTAGAGAGTTATCCTAAGTTATTCCTGGTTTAGATTGGCGTAAGCAAAAACAAGTGCGCTGTATTTAGAAGACTTCTCCCAGGCAACTGCAAAGACAAACCCATTTTTCAGAGTTGTTTAGTGTATGCTACTGCAAAATGCATCATGCATTTTCAGTTAAAAATTTCATGGTAATCAATCAAAAGAACTTATTACTTCAAATGGTTCAAATCAGGTCCCAAGCTGTATGAATAATAGAAGATGAAATACACTCAAGTAATCAAACAGCCCTTTAGGTGACCCCTTGAATTAGCAAAACAGAATGCACTGGAAAGAAGGGATGATAAATATGCAGGGAGCAAAAAAAAGGTCTTATCTTTTGTAGGGAGGGGGTTCATGCCACTTGCTATCAAGCTTTTTCTTGTTAAACAACATGCATAAGAGGGAATGTTTAATGTATTTAAATACAGAATGTTCAGGTTTATAAGGTTAAACTGCATCTGTGGCCGCAAAATTATTCAGTGATCAAGTTACGCTGTGTCCCCTCGCTAACTCTTTACTAAAATTGGTGTCCCAATGGCAGACAGGCAAAAATCTAAATCCCTGCATTAAGGTGCCATAAATCACAGTACAGCTTACTCAGATTACACTAGGATTCATACAGGCTTTAAAAAATTTGCATAGTCAGGATGAACAAGCTAACTGTTCCTAAGTTAACAACCACGGCATCTCTTTGAGGCAATGTTTCTTCTGGCATGTGCCTGGTCAACTTCTTAAAAGCAGAAAATAGGTTCTCGTGTTCAACACTTATAAGTGACAAAAGTACAAAGAAAGAATCAAAGCCTCTTTACCCAGAGCACCTAGGCTTCCTAAGAAATCAGGATGACAAAGTCAAAGATCATGCTCCCTTTAAAGGAAGAGGACTCTATACAGATGGAAACTCTTAAGAAATGATCTCAACAGAAGCACACCAATTTGTCTTTTCAGTTTTGAGGGTGCTTTCTTGAATATTCAAGTGCAGCTGAGGCCAAAGTTGACTTGGGCAAAGCAGTTACAAAGCATATGTATTTTTACTCCAGTACCTAGCTTTACTGTTATCATGATTACAATTCTCCAAAAGTGCTCTTGACCTACAATGTGAAATACTGCAGTTATAGCACTTTAACAGGCAAGATTATTTTCTTGTTGCTTAGAAAAGTCCGTTAAACTACTACTTCTCATAAGGGTCCAAATTGAAAAATAATACATGGATCGATTTGAAATTTGGCCCTGATGATTTATTCCATCTCCAGTTATTTTATTTTTTTAGTTAGTCCTGCTCAAAATACACCCTTTGCAAAAGTATCAGTTAGCATGGCATTTGGCTGTAGAAATGGAAGGAGGCATAGATGGGCTGCAATAACCGGATTCCATGGGTAGCAAGAGCATGAAGAGGTTTAAGAAGTCTATGACCATCTTACACAGCACTTCTGAATTTAGACCAACATATCTAATTATGCTCCTATTTTAGCTCTTTGATGGACAGAGCTTAGCATGTGGCCCTGTTACATATGAAGCTACATAACATGCAATTATTTCTTCTTCTTTTTCCTTCTGAAAAAGACTGTACTTGACAGAAGAAGCTTTTGGTTATCAGTCCAACCAGGTCCTGAGGTAGTGACAAGACTTACTTCTCCCTCACAGCTTCTTTCAACTTTCAAGCACTATGTTACTTTCTCATTAAATGTTTTCTTAGGCACATTAAATACATACAGCCCAAACAGTAAGTCAGTGGGACAGGCAGGCAACCACAGATTTCTTTTCCCATCTTTTGGGGGACTACTTTGCTTGCATGTTAGATCTGTAAGTAGACGAATTTATAAAAAATATCCTTAAGAAAAGGATAGAACTTTCAGATATTTGCCTGAGACAGAGAATATGATTTATGAGGAAGAAGGCCTGAGACGAAACTATGCTCTGGCACCATCCTAGAAACACTGATAAGCATGGGCAAAGTTCATGTTTCTGCAGTAGGAATTTCTGGTTCAGCCAGTAATGGATATTGCATCAGGAGTTAGCTGAAAGCACGTAGACTCAAAACTGTCTGCTGAGAAGGAGTAACCTAGAAAGCAGATGAGTTATCCAACAATTAAAGTACTTTGAGAGTGAAAAAGTAACAGATAAATTGTAGAACTGTTCCTTGATGGATCAAAAGGCACAGAATTGATACATGTCAGCTGACTGATGAGCAGTAGAACTTAAACTCTGGGAGAAGCAAGCTTACTACATATAATTCTGCATAAAGCATATGGGTGAAGAAGACGAGTTATAGGAAAGGAGAGTGAAAGGTGCAATATTGCAGGCATAAAACAGATCACCCATTCAAAGGCAGTCTTAATACTGAAACTCAACAGTTAAACTGTCACTAGCTCATGAAAAAGTATGTCCATGGCCAAAAACAGGTGTATTCCTCAGATCACAACCCGATGGCCTCTGAAGTCACTGCCAGTTTTCAGACACTGTATGGAGCCTTTGCTGTGCTACCACTGCACTTGTAACAGATTTTTTTTTTCCCAGAAGAAAGAGGGCTTCGAGAAAGGGCAAGCACGTGCTGTTAACACAAGTAACATGAAACAAAAGGCAGAGTACAAATAAATACAGAAGTAAGCCACTGGATGCATTACTCATTCAGCAAGGAGGATTCCTATTTATTAAAGAACCGAATTCCACTTCTCTCTCTGGCCGTCTTACTTCGGTCAATTCACCTCCCATTTAAGGAGTTTTTAGAAACTCATTACTCTTAGACACAGGCCTTCTTTATCCCATTTCTTCCAAGCTCTTGCTTTCTGCTATTACCTTGTTATTTTAAAGGAAGTGGCAATTATTTAAGTTCACCAGTTGGTTCTTTTCGGGTGTATGTTACCTAGTCTAAACAACCTGTTGCATCATAGCTAACAGTATTCATCTATCAATAGTTCTCATACTTGTTGTCATGGTTTTGCCCTGGCTCAATTTGCTTTCACACTTCTCAGACAATTACTACCAGCTGAGAGAAGGTTTATGCAGATAAAAAGAGACTGAACTGGGAAAAAAGGTATGAGTATTTATTACTAACAAGTTAAAACTAAAGAACTATATCTACAACAATTCTACTTAAGTAAAAGGTACTAATTAGCAAAGGTGTCACTGAAAGTTTTGATTGGTTTTTTTGTTCGGAAATCATCTGGACAAAACCATCCTCAACCCCAGGGATGGGCTGGTGGGCAAAACCACAACACTTGTGTCTTCCTAACTGAGATTAACTGGCATTATTATTCAAGTACCATGCATATCAAGTCTCCTTTTATTTTCAAGTATGCTGCTGCTCTGTCCTTAACTGATCTGCTAAGCATTAATTCCTTATTTTTCCTGTCCCAGATTTCTCAGACATACTCTCCACATATCCAAGACACCTGTCTATATATATATCTAACATGCAAAACTTAATGCTATGCACACATTAGACTGACAGAGGTACCAGAGTATTTTGCTTGCCCTGCCACCCCACCCCACAAATCTGAAATACAAGGAGAAAAATGAAGCCGAGATCTTGAGAGTGGTCTCTCCTGACCACACTTGAGGCATTCCTTTGGTTCTTCCCTCACTACTGCTGTGTTGTACTTACAGGGCCTCTTGGGATTCACCAAGGTCTGCCCATGGTATCTTAAAGGAGGCAAAACAAGAAGGTGCAGCAGTCAGATCCTGCAAAAACAGTTTCAGAGTGTCTGAAGGTGGATGAGCGCCTGTTCTTTAGGCTACCTCCCTTCCACACCAGAGCTGCCTTCTCTCAGGGGCCGGAATTTCTAGGCTAAAGCAAACCCAGCACTCGCAAACCGCTGTATTAATCTGTTTGTATCTCAGACTGTTTCCTAGACATATTTACAGATTCTGTGTTGTTGCTGTTTTTAAGCTTCTCAGCCATTGACTAAAACACAGCTTACGTTTTAGGCAATAGCTTTGGAATTTACAGAATACTAATTATCCTAAACAAGAGGGGCTAATGCAACCAAACGTCAAGCTTCAGGGAGTGGGACTGGTGGGGGGGTGAACCACTTCTATTTTATTCAGGAGAAAGGTTGTGTTTTTGTAATCTTAAGTGAAAACTAGTGGAAAACCGGCCAACGTAAGAAACCGGTAAGACAAAACAGAGCGAGTTCGAAAAGAAACGGGTCCAGCCCATCCTTTAAGCTCATCTGCCTGGAGAGTGAAAGAGAGCAGGACATGAACCTCCACGCTGTGAGCCTGCGGCGGGGCGCCCACCGCCCGCACTCACCTTGCCGCAGCCCGGCGGTCCCCAGAGGATGAGGGAGGGGATTTCGTGGGACTCCAGCAGGGACCGCAGCAGGGTCTCCGCGCCCAGCACCCGCTCCTGCCCCACGTAATCCCCCAGCGAGCCCGGCCGCAGCTGTTCGGCCAGGGGCTTCCCCTCCAGCTTCTGCGCCAGGCTGGCCCCGCGCAGCGCCGCCGCCGCCGAGCATCCATCCCCCGGCTGCACGGCGGCCTCGTCCCGCCCCGCTCCGCTCCTCCTGCCGCCGGCCCCCGGGCTCTGCCCGCCGCCGCGGCCCTTCTGGAAGAGGGAGAAGACGGGGGGGCCCTCCTCCGGGCGGGCCTCCTCCGGCTCCCCCTCGGCCCGGCTGCCCGGCGGGGCGGCGGCGAGGCGCGGCCGCTTGCTGGGGGGCTCGGCCGCGGCCTCCCCGGCCTGCAGGCAGCGGTCCAGGTGCGAGTTGATGTGCGCGCCCGGCAGCTCCCGCAAGCACACGGGGCACCGCACCAGAGCCTCCTCCTCGGCGCCCTCCGCGGGCTCCATCGGCTGCCGGGGCCCGCGCAGGAAGCGAGGCCGCTGGCCGCGGGCGCCCGCAGCCCTTCGGGAGCTGTAGTGCGGGAGGCGCCGCTCCCCGCCCCCGGCAGGAGCTGCTGTGCGATCGTGATGATCGATATTCTCGAGGTCTGTGGGTTTGGGGCTCCACCGGGTCTTTCCCTGAAACATGTAAAAACTTCCTTCTCGGTGGAAGAGCTACCAATAAATTATTTATTTCTCCCTCCCCCCTTTTTTTTTTTTTTTAATTAAAAAAACCCCAGCTCTTGTATTATGCAGTATGCAGGGCACCCAGGTTGTGTTTCAAAGAAGGGCATAGTAAGCAGTACCATTCGCATCGTGATCTACCACTTGAACTTGACCCACTGGTAATTCTTTCCACATTACATCTTGTTTTCTTTCTTAAATTGTATATTTAGGTTTAATTATACACGGTGACATAATAGTTCCCAGCTTGTAAAATTCAGGTCAGTCTAATGTCAGATGTGTGAGGAGGTAAACAAGTCTGCCTACTGTCTAACAGTACCCAGAGGCTTAAAATTTGAAAGTGGCTGGTTAGAAAATGGGCAATGGGTCAGAAATAAAGTTTTTATTTGAACTGATGATAGAGGCCAAAGGGCTGAGTTTCAAGCAAAGTGCTTTACAGCCCATCATGTAAACTGAATTCTGACTGAAGGGATTGTGATCTAAAACCAAATGTTGAAACAAAAAGGGGTTCTTGGTGTGTTCTTCTTTGTGGCTAATACCTATTTCTGAGCAGTTTTATAAACATTTACTGTATCATTTATATTTTTTATTGTGCAAATATATTGATTTTCTGCTATTAAGCAAAAAAGGCAGTAGGGCTATAGGTATGTACTGCTTTTTCTTACAGCCAGGCAAATTTTTGTTGGTTTATGATGTGTGTGTGGTTTCTGAATGTGTAAATGAAGATGTGGTTCATGAAGCAAGTTATTTTACTTGAAGTGAGAGGTTGGCTTGCTGAAGATGACCCAGAAGAAACTGTCTCCCTGGCCAAAGCTGGGGAATGGAAATGACTGGAGAAAGGTTTTCACACTCTTTTGTGGGAAACGGAGCTCCACACCATGTGAAGGTCATAGCTTCCCTTCGTTAAGTGGCACATGACCAGGGTGAGATTTCTTCTCTGGGACTGTGGAGGAGGCACTTGCAAACAAGTTTCAATGTGTGCATCCTAGAAACTTTCCATTGTTTAGCTTATTGTTTCAGAGATGTCTTAAGATAATAATAGGGGAGAGGGCAATCACATTTGGACTCGCTTTGAATCTCTGCTTGGCAATAGAGCCCAGTAAGATGTTTGAGTTTGCCATCCCATAAATATTTTCCCAGATAACTGACTCACTGGTCAGCTTGAAGGAACAACCTGTCCTTTAATTAGGACACGTCATTCTCATTAGATGGATGGCCACATTTGGTGATAAAGCCTAGGGGATGATGTGCTCTTTGAAGAGCTATGGAGAGCCTGAATCAGTTTTCCTTGGTTGCAGTCATGTCAGGCCAGAAGCAGCCTTCACAGCCAGGCCCCTCTAAAACACTGTAGGATTTGAATAGCTGGAGACATGGAGGCAGCAGGAGGGCATCCAGAAACATCTCCTGTTTTTTATGACAGCTTTTGATTATATTGCATCACCCCTTGGCTTGGAGTAGATCAAAGAATCTGTGGAATAATGGCTTGAAGGTTACACTGAGCCCTTCGGTATGTCACTTGCAATTGTCAGAACCTTTAGCAAAACTCAAGAACCTGCTCTTGAGAAATGGGGGAAGAAAAATCTCATAAAATGTTCTTTCAGCTGAAAGGGATGGAAAGGGATGTCTGAGCCATGAAAGCTGGTGAGAGAGGCTAGAAGCAGCAAACTGGACATTTTTACAGACCAGTGCATGACTTCTTCAGATGATGACTGTCTTACAGTCCAATGATGGTGTTCCTGCCCCTCCCATATTAACAGCATGATCTAGGACTGCAATGACATGGTAGCAGGAATTCCTCTAGAAGACCTATTTGAAAACTGCTTGCATGGTCCAGTGCTGTCCATCATCTCTAAATGTCACCACTAGCTAACCATCTCCTTCATCACATGTGATAGCACATGGCATCTTTTTCATACGGGAAGTCTGGAATGCTAACTCTGGCCAGAGGAATTAGTTTATGTAGATACACATCTAATCTGTTGCATGTGCACAGATGTGGGGTCAAAACACTGAGGAACATTTTCTCTTGGAAGGTGTTCAGGTAAAAGTAACTGATTTAACTGGGTCTCTGGTTGTACACTGAAAGCTGTTTCTCTGTGCTTCTAATGACTGTAAGGTTGTGTATATATATATATATATATACTTAATTACGCCATATAGTTTATGATATTTATGCAAGTTAAATTGAAAACTATGAGCTGTGTAATGAAATTTAACAGATTCAGCTTTCTAGAGCTAAGGCCAGGGAGCCCTGCTTTTGTACCTGGGTTTCCAGTATAGTGAAGGAAGGGATGCAATAATAGCAATGGAAATGTTTTTGTCTTTTCTTGCATGGGTCTACACAGAGATACTAAGTGGAATTTTAGAGTAGTTTCTCTTACTTTTTTAAAATAATTCTTTACACAAAGAAACATATATTCAAAGTGTAGAACATATATTCAAAGTAGTGATTGCTTGAGGGGGGAACCCACCACCTTGCTGTGGAATAAAAGCCCTTCTAAAGAGAATCAAAACTAACAGCTTGACTTGGAATAACCTTCCAGCCAATCTTACCAGTAGACAAGCCTCAATGATCCTACATCACGTAAGTACCAGGCACATCACGAGAACCTGCAGTGGGAAGGAACCCAGCTGAGGACTGTGCTTTTCTGCAGCCTTCAACAGAGGGCCTAAAATCTCCACCATTTTGGCAATTACCTATTTCTGTGGTACAGGATAGTGAAAAGAGAGGGAAGGCCTGGCTTCATACCTAAACTACTTTGTTTGGTATCTAAAATCCTTATGGGCCTAATAACAGGGTCTTTGCATGTTAACTTGCTGGAACTGCAGCAGAAAAGAGAATGTTGAGCAACAGGGAACCACTGAAGAAGCTAAAAAGTGGGGAGTGCTCCATAAACAAGGTCTGCAAGCAACAGCAATATGTATTGATTTGATAGAGCTAAATAGTTTCTGTCAACAAATTAAATTACATCAGTCTTGTAGCCTACTTGAATTATCTGATGTTGAATGTAGAATCGTATCTGTGATCAGCTAGTGCTGTAAACTCTATGTTCGTGTGTTAGCTCAGCAAGTATAAGGAGAGGAAGTTGAAATACAAAGTGTTGCAACATGGTATTTTTCTAAGCTAAAATGAATGGATAACACTGATGCCTCTTATTTGTCTTTCTTTTGTACAGCCAAGAAGGAGGAGAAATCAGAAGTTACGAGTGTTCATTGGTTTATGAATCTAAGGTGGAGAGGAGAACAGACAGTAAATTAACTGGACACGGTATGAAGCTACTTAAGATTAGCAGGCTGGAAGAGATAAATACACAATACCAGAGAAACAGACTAGAAAAAACAGCCTTTTTTCAGAGTATGGAAAAAATGGAGATGACTAGAAGCTTTCAGGAAGAAAAAGTCAGTGAACCACATCCTAGAACAGAAGATGAAAAGGTAACTAACTAACTGCATAATTAATTTGGTCTTCCTAAAACACTGCCTCTTATTTTTTTTCAGCTAATTAAGGAGTTTACTATGCGTGTTTCCCAATAGAATTGAATATTTCATTATCATCTCTTAAAATGTACTTTAGCTGTGAAGGACTGGTCAGCATCTTTTAATCTTTTGTAGTCACAGAAGCAAGCCCATCTATTGTTATTCTGGAGTTTACTTATTGCTGGACTTAATATTCAGGAATTGTAAAAAAGTTATGTGGTTCTGCCACTCTTCAAAATTGAAAGATAAACATGGATTTTGCTGGATTCATGTTTTGAAAGCATTTGTCCTGTCTAACTGGAGTTAGTGGGGACTGAATGAATCCCACGGAAAAAAAACAGATTTCCCAGAGGAACTAAGGCAACTGTGTCCTTTGCTCCCCATTAACTGGTGAACAGAGCATGGTTAATGCAGTGCACCCTGTGTGCAGGGATGAGTGTTGTCCAGTATAGTCCTGTGCTGCACCGGTGTCCAGTGAGAACAGTGCTGGGCATTGTGGAACGGGGTCTCTGATAGGAAAATGACTCTGTGATTGGCCAAAATGTGTTTAGAAGTAGTAACACGTTTCCTTGTATTATGCTTTTTTCTATGCGAGAGTCTAGGGGAAACAGTATTTGTACTGATGTATCATTTGGACAAGAACTGAGAAAATGTGCTTGCGGTAGGACAACAAGCGATTATTTTACACACCAGTTTGTGAAAAGACTTGAAAAAATTGTGCTGTGGCTGTTTGTATGCTGATTGTGCTGATATGATAGAACAGTTTTTCAAGTATTCTTAATATTTTTGTGTTCAAATGGTAAGTAAATTCCATATGGTTTTATTTGTATTATCAAGTCAAGAATTTGAATTTTTAATAATTCTTAATTTGTTGGGTCACTTTTGTTGAAAATTATTCCAGTCTTCTGTCAAGTACTACAATTTTTCCTTTGTAGACATAGAAAATGATCTGTATATTAAAACAAACAGAGCATATCTCGTATAAGTGGGATGTGTTTATTTTAGAGAGTTTCATTTAGTGTTACAGTGAAAATAAGAATTAAAAAAACAAAACAGAATTGGGTGGTCAGGATTTGAAGAATGTTAATGATTCTTCTAAAAGATACTTTTCTTCTATTGTGAAAATAACAAGTTGCACAAGTGACAGCAGAAACTGCTGTTTCTGCCACGCAGCTCTTCCCTTGAGTTTGTTATCCTTAGGGTAAGGAAAAAGACTGAGAGCTGCTTTGGCTGTGTTAATGTATCTTAGCTCCATGATGAATTGCCAGTAGTAACTGAGGTGGTGGGATTTTTCACCTCTTTGTGTTGCAGTC